ACGTTCCTCTTGAGAATTTTTCACTCATATGGAGACACCGCGTGATGCAGTGGTTAGAGCGTCTGCTCTAGAGTCGCGAAGTAAGGAGTTGATCCTTACGTTGTGGGTTTGAATCCCACTGTGGGACGTGGAAACCGGTCCTTCGGATGAGACTGTATAGACCGAGGTCCCGTGTCACAGTAGGTGCTGGCACGAAAAAGATCCCTCACTGCTCAATGGCCGTAAGTGCCGAGTATAGGACAAAATTTGCAGCTCCCCACCGGCAAGTGGCGGCGTCATCATATGAGTGAAAAATTCTTGAGAGGGATGTTAAACAACACACAAACAAACAAACATATGGAGACACCACCACTTGCTGGTGGAGAGCTGCAAATTTTGTCATATACTAGGTACTTATGGTACTTACTACTGTGTCACGGGACCTCGGTTTATAAGGTCTCATCCGAAGGACCGGTCTCCATGTCCCACAGTTGGATTCGAACCCGCGACATAAGGATCAACTCCTTACTCCATGACTCTAGAGCAAAAGCCACGTGGGTGACTTGATGCATGACAGTGTAATGGCAAATGTAAGGTAAATGCACATGTGGGTGGTCAGCTATTATAGATACTTGTGCTATTTTTTTAGTGAAAAACAAAGGAAAATTATGTGAATGAAATGTGTACAGGTATTAGCCTATTACATTCTGTCAAATGGATCTTCTTTGCATAAGGTGACATGATTTGAAAATAATGTCATAATAGTCTGACTAAATAGCCTTACTTGTAGAAATTGAATTTTAATTTGCATTAGTTTAGTTCGCATTAGCTGTCATTTGAATGCAATTTAATTTGCATTAGTTTAATTGTATTAGTTTAATTCGCATTATTTTGCTGCAAATAAAACTTTCCATGTGAACAGGGCATTAGAGCAGATCAGAATATATTCAAGCTGGCTCCACGAATATCCTCCTTAAGGCTTTAAGCTAAATTTAATGAGTTATGAAACCATTAATATTCAATTGAAAACAAATGAAATGATGTCTATATATTATAGGCATCAGTTAAATTTAAGTTAAATTGATAATCATATTATATTCTAAGCATAACACGAAATAAGAGGAAGTAATAGATTGCAGCTCTCAAGAAGAAGGGGGGGGGTGTTTACAATCAGATCTCACTTTTGGCTAAAAAATTAAAAACAAAAACCAAAAAAAAAAAAAAAAGAAATAGGTTGCTGAGCTAAAGAAGAAGGGGGATGGGGGGGAGGGGGTGATGGTTACAATCCGATCTCACGTTTGGCTAAAAAACCAAGTAAGAGGTTACAGATTTCAAGAAGAAAGGGGGGGGGGGTGTTACAATCTGATCTCACTATTGGCTAAAAAGGCATATATGTGAACTACGTTTCCAAAATCTCCAATTAACACGGACCAAATTTAGTTATGTTGAATCTTACAAAAATAAGTGAAGTTCATTTCATGTTGAAATGACACACACAACACATTCGATTATACCTTTCATTTGATGAATTTTAAATCATTGTGAAATGAATAGCATAAATTGTGTACTATTCCAAGAAAGAAAATTATCACATAAATACGAACTGTCTTTTCATTTCAACAGAGTACACGATATGCAGCAATCGTCACTGCCCCCCCCCCCCCTTACACTTTGATGTAAGTTTCTATACACCATATTTCATCGAACAAGTAATAAAACATACCGTTTTCCAGCGTTTCTTTAACATAGAATCCATCCTCATCAAAAGAATCTGGGATTCTCTGCCCAGGCTTTCCTCTGCGTCTTTTTTTCGACATGTTTATTATATCCCGCTTCAAAACAATTGGACTTCCGCTCTCTTTACACACGCGCATGCGCATTGTAGATGTGTGTAACGTCAGAGGTGTGTAAGTGAAGATGGCAACTTCAATCCGCACGATATCTGTGTAATCATGTGTTCGATGAAACCCCGAAACTGGGACACGTTATTTTTTTTACTTTTTTAGGATTAAGACATGTCAATTTTTCGTTTTAAACGATAAAAAAGTTTGGGGACTTGATTCAAGTCCCCAATGTTTTTTATGTCCCCAATTTACGACTTGCGTATCTGTCGAAGGTCCCCAATATGGCCTTCCCACACACGCACACACACACACACACACACACATGAAATAGGATTTTCGGGTTTGGACATTTTCCCACCTTTTTTAGCTCACCTGAGATGAAAGCTCAAGTGAGCTTTTCTGATTACATTTTGTCTGTAGTCCGCCTGTCTAGCTGTCTATCTGTCCATGCGTTTTTCCGTCTGTAAACTTTTCACATTTTCAACTTTTTCTCTAGAACCACTGAGTCAATTTCAACCAAACTTGCCACAAAGCATCCTTGGGTGAAGGAGATTCATGTTTCTTCAAATGTAGGGCCACCGTAGGGCCTTCGTTCAAGGGGAGATAATTCAGAAATATTGAAATCTGGTGATATCTTTTAAAAATCTTCTTCTCAATTTTAACTTATGTGACAGCTTCTTTACATAGTCTAGAATGAAATTTGTTCAAATGATGACCACTGGGGGTAAGGTGGGGCCATAATAGGGGATCAAAGTTTTCCATAGGAGTACATAGGAAAACATCTTTAAAAATCTTCTTCTCAAGAACAACAAAGCAATGTTTAGTTATATTAATATGGAAGCATCCTCAGGCAGTGTAGATTCAAATTTGTTCAAATGATGATCCTTCGGGGTAGGGAGGGGCCTAGTGGGGGACCAAAATTTTACATAGGAGTATATTCGGAAAAAATCTTTAAAAATCTTCTTCTCAAGAACAGCAAAGCCAGGATAAGTCATATCAATATGAAAGCATCCTCAGGCAGTGTAGATTCAAATTTGTTCAAATGATGACCCCCGGGGTAGGGAGGGGCCAAAGTGTGGATTCAAAGTTTTACATTATGTTGGAAAATATCTTTAAAAATCTTCTTCTCAAGAACAACATGCAGAGCCATGTTTAGTCATATTGATATGGAAGCATCCTCAGGTGTAAAGATTCAATTTTTTCAAATGATGATCCTTTGGGGTAGGGAGGGGCATAGTGGAGGACCAAAATTTTACATAGGAGTATATTGGAAAAAATCTTATCAACAACAGCAAAGCCAGGATTAGTCATATTGATATGAACGCATCCTCAGGTAGTGTAGATTCAAATTTGTTCAAATGATGACCCCCAGGGTAGGGTGGGGCCACAATGGAGTATCAAAGTTTTACTGAGGAATATATAGGAAAAAATCTTTAAAAATCTCAAAAACAACAGAGCCATGATTAGTCATATTAATAGGGTAGCATCCTCAGGTAGTGTATAGATTCAAGTTTGTTCAAATTATGATCCCCGGGCATAGGGAGGAGCCACAATTGGGTATCAAAGAGTTTTATAAAGGAATAAGAAAAAAATCTTAAAAGATCTTCTGCTGTAGAAAAGCAAAGCCATTTATTAGTTATATCGACATTGAAGCATCCTTAGGTTACGTGTAAAATTTAAGTTTGCCCCCACCCCTCACCCCAATGTAAACTTTTCAATACTGATTTGTGCTTTATCCTGGCCAATGTGCTGAGATGAGCGATGTGGCCCATGGGCCTCTTGTTTTTTGTTTTTGTTTATATGTTTTTTGCTTAATATTTTTTTCATGCAAGTTGAAACTTTTTCTCTGGCTGCCCTCCCCTTTCAAAAATGATACTTTGTGCATGCATAGGCAAACATTGACCCCTACCCCCATTTTATTCTTATAAAATTGACAGAGAATTACAATGACTACCCTGTCCTCCACCAGCTCCCTTTTGAAACACAGGTGCTTGGGGACGGGACCCCCCCAATCCCCATCCCCGTGTTCCGTACCCCAAGGGTTCTTCGACTTTTTTAAAATATTTTTCTAGGACATATTCACAAAGTATTACAACTGAAAAATCGGAAATATAATCTAAAACAAGATGTGTTTGTGAAACACTGCATGATGCCCTTGTATGGAAACTTATAGCAAAGGTTACACTTCCTCAAATGCAAATTAAATATGCTTGTACCCAAAGTCAGGTCTTGTACCAAGGAATATACCTGTGAAATATGAAAGCCCCAGCAGCAATCATTGAAAAGATATGGAAAAGGTCAAAGTTTTTCAAAAGTAAGTCAAACATCAAGGTCAAAGTCAAATGGTCAAATTAATGGTGCCCAAGGATAGCCTTTTCACAAGAAATACACATGTGAAATATAAAAGCCCTAGCACCAACCATTTAAAAGATATGGCCAAGGTTAAAGTTGTTCAAAAGTACGTCAAACTCCAAAGTCACGGTCAAAGGGTCAAAGTTGTTGGTATCCAAAGGAAGGTCTTGTCACAAGGATTACACGTGTGAGGTATGAAAGCCCTAGAACCAACTGTTCAAAAGAAATGGTGAAGGTTTAAGTTTTCCAAAAGTAGGTCAAACTCCAAGGTCAAGGTGAAAGGGTCAAAGTTGTTGGTATCCAAAGGAAGGTCTTGTCTCAAGGATTACATGTGTGAAGTATGAAAGCCTTAGCACCAAAAGTTCAAAAGTTATGGCCAAGGTTAAAGTTTTTCAAAAGTAGGTCAAACTCCAAGGTCAAGGTCAAAGGGCTATAATTTTTGTTATCTAAAAGAAGGGCTTCTCACAAGCATGTGAAGAATGAAAGCCCTAGTGCCAACTGTTCAAAAGTTATGGCCAAGGTTAAAGTAGGTCAAACTCCAAGGTCAAGGTGAAAGGGTCAAAGTGGTTGGTATCCAAAGGAAGGTCTTATCACAAGGAATACACATGTGAAATATGAAAGCCATAGGTCCAACCAATCAAAAGTTATGAGCAATGTTAAAGTTTTCGCGGACAAACAGACAGCTAGACGGACGGACAGGCAAAAACTATATACCCCCGAATCTTCGATACGGGGGCATAACTAGCCTTTTATAAAAAATTCACACTCTCTGATACTAAAACTGTTCTCTTTTAGTATCAGAGAGTGTTCCCCCAAAATTATATTGATCCGCCTATCGAGGATGTTATAAAAAGAAAGCGGAAGTCAATATCATGTGACACCTACACATAAACAATGGCGGACGTAGAACCTCCCCCAGCAGATACATCGCAGACGACGTCGAATTCTGCCTCGGTAACAATTTCAAATTTAAAGTAAACGTAAAATTTATACACATATATGTATATTTAATTGAGCCAAGACAAAGTTCCTATACGATTTTTCTGTCCTTTAAATTATTCTAATCTTGAGCTTGGAAAACTCTGTATTTCGAATTTCCTCAAACTTGATGTGTCGTGTTAATAAGAATTACAAAACTTTTATTCCAGTTCAAACAAATGCTTGGCATTAAGTTTTCAAATATTGATATTCAGTTTAAGATGGTTTTTCATTTTAACTTCTAGCACGATATAAGCCAGAGACATATATATGTCTCTGTATAAGCATATAAACATTAACTATATTGTTTAGGTATTCTGTGAAGTGAGCTTAATCATGTTAATAGTTAAGTTAATTGTATGTATTTATCCAAGTTAACAAATTGAAACAATCGTTACAATGGTGGTTTATGTTGATCACTAAAGGCATGAGTCTCATAAAACATTTTCTCTTATGATGATGTCTATACTGTGTGATCTGACATCTGAATCATAACACATATTTCTATAAATTGGACATTTTATCTTTTAAATTTTGCTATGTTTAACTACACTAACTGGACAAAACTTCAAAATGGCAGTATTTTTTCTCATTAACAACTCATTTAAAACTACCCTCCAGATTTTAATATTGTTTGTCTTACCTTAATATTTGGTGAGCTGACCCTTCATATCCTCATTGTTGGAAATGTAGCATACAACTGGCTGATTTAATTTACAGGTAGATTCTGAAGAGAAAAAAATTGTTACTTCCTCTGTCAGCTGATCTTTGGAATTAGAATTAATAGTGAAAGCAAATTGCTGATCAAAAAGCAAGCTCTGTAGTCTAGCATGTAAGAACAGAGGAAATTCAGAAAAAAATCTGCAACATTCATATTTTGTCAGGCAAATTTTTGCATGACACCTTCCAGGAATTCTGAGAAATGAAAACCTATTTTTAGATTTCTGTAACAGGATTTAAATAGATGATATTGAGAGGTGCAGTTACTAGCTCTGTGTACTGCACTTAATTTAAATACCAATACTGAAAATTCTTATTAATTTCAGTTATTTAGTTAAAATAATTAATATAAATCAATTCGAGATGTTTTATCTATATAATAAAGGAGTTATTGAACTTACATTGGTGAATATTGGCACTCTTTGGCTGTACAAATGCACTCACAAGCTCGTGCATTTATACAGCCAACTCTTGCTAATATTCACCAATATAAGTCCAGTAACCCTATAATACATGTACGAATGTCATCATGCTGAAAGCTTTGGTGCATATGTATGCAAAATTTCCAAGCATAACATGCTTTCTTTAAATAGTGTAATGCAAAAATATCCACGACAAATTCTCAGCAACTCTAGCATTTTCAGTGACAAATACTTTTGTCCAATGACTTTAGTTGTTTACTTTCGGTGTTTTAATAGAACTGCAGAAACATCAGAAAGAATAAAACGAGATCAGAATACATTACTTGAAATATATGTTTTTCACAGATGGCTGCAGATGGGAACAAACCATGGGAGAGGCCATGGACTGTTGAGGAGATGAGAAAGGAGGCAACTAACTGGTCACTGTCTGGAGATGCAGGGGTAAATTTTTCCTTCTGTTTGACTGCATGTTTATATATACAAATTGATCAAAAGAATTTGCTCAAATTGTGTGACTGATAAAAGAATTAAGTGTCTGTTAGTTAACATCATATTACACATTAATGACTGCAATTATGAATTAGTAGAATATTGTGATGACACAAATGCATTCATTCCAAAAACATATGCATGAAACATATTTTCAAAGCTTTAGAGGGAGTTTCACCATATTTGAAGTAATTATTGATTTTAGATAAATGTATATATGCTATACATGTTTTTGATTTTTGAGTTGTTTTTTTTTTTTTGTATCTAAAGAATTTAGACATTGAATACATGTAGTATTTTCTTTGCAGTTGTTGCTGTATTTAAAAGATTTTTCACAGAAGATGATTTCACGTGTACATGAAATTGAAAAAGAAGTAGATGGATTGATGCATGATTCTAAGGTCAGAAAAGTATTGTGGCAGTCAGACAGGTTTGATCAACGGTGACCAGATAGCTTTGTTGGTAGAGCACCCGTCTAGAGATCTGGCAGCCATTGTTCAAATCCTGGTCTGGTCTATTGCATTTTCCCTTTCCAGTTACAATATCATGCATTCTTGTTTCAATGTAATGAAGATGTTGTTTGTTTAGGTAACTAAAATGATTAAATTTATAATGTTTTGTTTCAGATGACTGGTGTAAGAGCTAACAATGTCTTCAATGACTTCATTATGCTGGCAAACACCCAGTTTGTAGAAAATGTAAGGCCTTCTTTGTTAGTAATTTTAAGATCTATCAGTTGCCAACTACTATTAATTATTAGGTTTGTCATTGGCTGTCTAGAGAAACATATCGGCATAGATGGAGAAGCTGAGCCGAGCTGTCTATGAAATTGATCAACCTGATATATTTCTATAGACATGCAGTAACTCAGTAACAAACCTAATAAGTGATTTATTTTCTCAAGGATCATAGTGTGAGAGACAAACACAAGACAACTAAGCCAGATGTAATGTTTACCAATGAAGGGAGGGGGGACAAAATTGACTAGCAAGGGAAAAATTTTAATTGTCAAAACTCGAGAGGGGGTAGATCTTCCTCTAAATTTTTGGCAATTCTTTAATCCAATAGGATGGCACACTTTGCATCTCGCTGCAACAAAATTGTGTTTGTATGAGGAATTTGAACACTGTAGAAGTACTTTTTTCCACGTGGTATTAATTTACGCTATTGTACACTGTCACAAATTTTCCGCGGAAATTTGTCCCAGCGTACTGAAAGTACATGTAAGGTATTTAGTTGCAATCTAAGAAATCCGCTTAATTTTCTACCCGCTATTGAAAAGAAATTTTGATTCCAGGGGATTTTGACCCCATGGAAAAAAGTATGTTTACAGTATTATAGAATATACACCAAAAGACTATCCTTAATAAAAACAGTGGGAACCTCCACCCCATCCCACCTCATCCCACTCCAAAACCCCTTGTACAAAAAACCAGCAAGAAGTAATGATTAAGATGATTGAATGCAACATATTTCAATTCTGTTGAGAGTTCCAACATCTGGACTATAGAGTTTCATCCAATTTCACACTGTGAAACCTATCGAAATTATCCATCTCACCTTTTACCATTAAGTAATCATAGAAAATTTTGAGACACCTTAGTTTACTTTCAGTACTTATTCTTTAAGTATTTTACCCTCGATATCTCAAATTCTTGGATACCTCAAAGTATTTTCTCGGTCCCATCGAGTTCGAGATAACGAGGTTTTACTGTATCTGGAACAATGATGTGTGGAATACCAGGAATATGTGGAAGTGTGTCAGTAAACCTTGTCTTATTTTTTTTATTGAGGCTCATCGCTATCAGCGATGTGGCCTCATTGCTGACAACCCCCACTCTTTCTTTCAATTACTGCGGTGACAAAGGACTCCACAATATTGATTCTAAATACGCTATTGAAAATAGTGCAAATGTATATTGACAAGTTGGTGATATTCATTGTCTTTTTTAAAATATTAAATAACATAAAATCTCACATGTATACGTTGTTTACACTTTGAAAGCAACAAAGATAAAAAAAGAAAAAAAAGAAATAAAACCCAAGAAAGAGAGAAAACAACAACAAACAAACATGTGCGCTACGCGGAGTAAGATCTATTTGCATAACAACAGCTTGTACTATAAATTATTAGGCCTTGTAAGCCGACATTGCTTGTATGAATATCTTAGAAAAATGTACAATAATTTTATTTGATAAAGCATCACTAACAATAGGAATGGGATGGTTGTTTTTATAGAAATAGAAGGAATATCATTATTTTTTCAATTGATGAAAAGAATAGTAAGATGTCCAACTGAATAAATTTTTTGCAACAAGCGCCACCTTTCGGGAAAAAAATTCCACGTGTGACATGAAACGGTGAAATGATCGGTTTTTGGTGAAATGTTGGTTGAATATCATGATATGACTGATTAAAAAACTGCAATGACTGTGAATTTCACCTTATAAACTTAGACTTTTAGAGTTCAATACTTACCACCAAGGTTTTATAGCTAATTTTATCGAAAATATCGGAAATCGGTCGAAATATAAGGGGTTTAATAGTATACCGTATACCACGCCCAATTGCTTTTTACAGTCCCGTGTTATCTATATGAACATTTCATGAATCACTATGGTTTATGTACTCATAGTATTATGCCATTTTGATTGAGAAAACTAGTCTAAGACAAAGTATTGATATTTAAAAAAGTGCACATAAGGAAAGAAAAAAATTCAGATATGAAATTATAGAATTACTCAATAATCAATCATTTCTAAATTCTCATTCATTATTTCATCTTCCTACTGTGATAATAATCAAAGAATAAAAATTAAAAAAAAAAATAAAAATTTAATTGATATGAATTACAGATTAATTTTAATATCAATGAATTATAATTGATATATCAGATATATTTAAAGAAATGTTTGTTTGCCCTCTCCCGACCGACTGGTTAAAAATGCCATGACTCAAAACTTTTTTTAACCTCAAAGAAACAATATTTTTATTTTTATTTTCATTCCAGATTTTTTCATTCCCTCAACATGTATGATGAATTTTTCTGAGAAAAAAAAAAGAATTGAGTTTTCTACCTTCAGTGCGATGCGCCTCTCAGGCCTTCAGGCCTTTGATTCAACTTTTCTTTTCGATATCTCAAATGAGGAGATATCTGGAAGTTTTTTGATAGTCCCGCTGTGTTTAGGATATTGAGAATAAACTGTTATATATGTACCATTGGAACAATCAGTCAAGCTTGGTGCCTATAGCATAAACATACTGTGCAAAGATTTCTGTGTGCACCATGAATTGAAATTAAATATACATGTATGTTAAAATGCATTTTTTAAAATTGTTTAAGTCTTCCATTTTTAAGAATTTTTTTTTTTCTGGAAACATAGAGAGTTTATGATGAAGATGTCAGTCAAGAGGAAACAGCAAAAGCTGGGGAAGGAAATGATGAGAAAGAGAAGACAAAAGAACAACGGGAGTCAGAATTGATTCCCAAGGTCAAGGAGGCCCTGGAACTCGGAATCAATGTCATTGACCAGGCCTTTGAACAGTTGGACAGTCATGTGGCAGATTCTGACTCAGAGGAGGAGGAGACCGGATACAGAGCTGACCCTCTACTGGAAGCTAAGGTATGCAGTATCAGAGTGCCTTATTGTAGAATCTTTTATTTGTCATTTTCATGGAGTGCTAAAAATTACAGGTTCATAGTGACAGAATTTCATGGTCATACTTCATGTTATAAATGACACCACCTTTATTTTGATATTTGCATAGGTTTTAAATTCAAGGGGAAAGGGGTATCCATGAGATCCAGGAGTGTTGTATCTCCACAAAATATAATGATTCTGTAGTACTCTACTGTAGGCTTTAATTATCAAATGTATACTTGTCTGATTGAACAAATACCAGTACATAAATAGTTCACCTGCTAGAACTGTGATCATTTTATTTCCCATAGACAACCTGAAAACCATTAGTGTCTATTCCTGGATGTCATTCTGAACTGAAATGTTTTTCAGATTCATCACCCATATCCATCTGGCTGTCTTGTGTCAATATCAAAACTATACATACATGTAGGAAAACTAAGTTTTGCTCAGAGTTTTAACATAACTTTTGGTGACTCTTAAATTGATGTTTTAAATCAATTTTTTTCACAATTGGTAGTAGTTCTTACTGGAATATCTTTCAGAACCTTTGCTGAGCCAATTGATCTTAGACATTGCAAATTTTGTTTTTGACTTGTTTATAATTCAAGAGTTTGTTTTTTTATTCCTTTACCTTTTTTCAATTTATATATTAGACACATTGTTCACAACTGGATGATTTTTTTTTAATAGAATACAAATGAGGCTCATCATAGACACAGCTAAAGAGCTAATCAGGGTGACACTGGATCAATAGATTGTAAACTGTACATCAAAAATACAATTCTTTATTAAATTTTCTAAGTCAAATTAGCTCTAAATGTCTATAGTATGACTTTACAATTCATAAGTTCAATTCACCACTGGAAGACCTTGCTTAGCAAGTTCTGTTTTCCCCTGACAACTCATTATTTTAGTCATTTTGCAAGGACTCCGTGGTTATGCTTAGATTTTTTTTATATATGATACTTGGATGCAAAATGAGGAAGAGAAAATGTGTCAATTTCTTGCCACAATACTTGAACATCCTAGTAATTTATTATGTGTGTAGCAACTACATGTAGTAACAATTGTTATAGATCTCTGGGTCAGTGTATTTGATTCATTTACCTCCCTTTTTTTGCAGGATCCATATATTAACCGATTACTTCCCTTAATGATTGGAACACCCAAATTTATGGAGGATGATTCTGTTGGCTTGGCTGAGGAGGAATCAGGTACATCTGTACTTAATCTGTTTTTACTTTTAAACTAGTAAGATCAAGATTTTACATTAAAAGCCCATTTTTTTACTTTGATCATAGATTAATTCTTGTTATATTTTTGCATGTGAATAAATTTTTGTTTCATGCTGCGTCTGAGTAACACACTGAGCTTTCTCTGAGGTAATTATTACTAGTACTTGTTGTATGATATAGTCCTTCAGCATATGTTTTTGTCTTTGTTTGTAGAAGAAGAGGAGAGTGACCATGGCAGCCTAAGTGAGAGTGAATCTGAGAAAGAGGAGGAGGAAGAGGAGAAGACAGAGTCCTCAGAGGAGGTGAGGAAGTCTGCATATATGTACTGTCTTTTGTTAAAATAGATTTTAAAGGGGTAGAGCATAACTGGGGCTCTACACAGAAGCGTTTAATTTTTAGGTCATCTGAGGCAGTCAGGTGACCTATTCTATCTGTTTTCGTCCATTGACATGCGCCGATAATAAATTTTTGAACATTTTCAGCCTCTTCTCTTGATCAGCTAAACAGTTCTAACCAGTTTGGGTATATAGCACCTATTGGTAAAGGGGAAACAAAAACGTGAAATTCATGGTCTCTGCCTCCCTAGGGCCTGAGGGGTGGGGTCAAAACAATCGAAATTAATGCAATCTTCAAAAATCCTCTTTACTCTTGAACATGAAGCAATCATACTGATAACATAATGATAACAAGCATTCTGAGAGTATTGCATTAGCAATACTAATCCCCTACCGGCAAGTGTAATCTGGTTCCCGTTAAAAATTGAAAATGCCATAATTTCGTCAAAAATCAGTGAAGTGGAATGAAATGCAAACTTGATCTATAACTCATCAAGGTAAAGTCACATACCAAAAATTAGCTCAATATCTGCAAGCGTTTAGAAGACAATTGTGGAAAACCCTGAAAAATTGAAAAGGTCATAATTCCATTAGAAATCATTGAAGCAGAACGAAATGCAAACTTGATCTGTAACTCATCAAGATACACTCACATACCAAAAATCAGCCTAACATCTGCAAGCGTTTAGAAAAAAGTGCAGAAAACCAAGTGGGACAGACTGACAGACAGACAGAGGGACAGACAGACAGATGGACAGACAGACTCAGAGGAAACCTATAGTCCCCTCCGGTTTCACCAGTAGGGGACTAATAAGCAAAGAGTCCTTTACCAAAATTGTCATCTGGGTCAGGGGTTCTAGGTGGGGCTCTTTTGACTCTATGGTGAAAATGCATGAATTCATTAAAAATCTTCTTTTCTTCTCTAGTATAGTGTACACAGGAAAATTTTGGCCACCGTTTTATTTTCGCTCCTTTCGCCCTACTCACAGGTGGGTGAATATAATACGAGGCGAATTCAAAGAACACAGTATAATTTCTTAAACAGAACTGTGACTGAGCGAATTTAAAATGGGGCAAAATTGCTTGAGTGAAAATAACACGGGGCGAAAATAACCCTGTATAAAGTATTAAGCAGACATACAAAGTGCATGGTTATGATGAGCAAGGGTACTTCTTCAAAAATTATGAAATTTATGGCCCCAGGGTCAGAGATTTTGGTGATAGGGTGGGGCTCTATTGATCGCTTATTGAAATCTCAAAAATTCTTTATAACTCTTCTTCTTTGTGCTTGTATATTTAGCAAAGTAATAAGTACATGATTATAGTGAGCAAGGGTGCCTCTTCCACAATCCCTGAGTCGGGGCTTCCTGTGTAGAGCAAGGATCTATTGATCATATAGAGTGATCTTTACTCTAGTTTGAGAGAAGTTATTCCCCTTTGCGGGTGCCCTATAGTAATCACTCTGTCTGTCTGTCCGTCTGTCTGTCATTCTTCTGTCCACAAATTTTCTGTTTTTTTCTAATAACTCTTTTTGTAGTTGACCAATTAAGTTCAAATTTGGTATGTTGGTTGAAGAGGCAGTAAGACATATTTTGATGCTAAGTTTGGTCCTCTATGTCATCCAGTTTGGAGCTTGGGTGGTGGGGTAGATTCCTTAATTTTACATTAGAATGAATGCCAGGGCAAAGAGAGATAACTGCTGAGAATGTTCCAATTGTAAACTATGAAAGCTGCAACTAGTCCCATGGGATTAATTAACTTTCCTCTTGAAGAAAATCCAAAGCATTATCTGTTTCTGTCAAATTGAGATTAATTAACACCTCTGTCTGCAAATGAAGTTTGTTTTGAAGTTAAGGTCAATTCTGAATGATGTTTACATTCTCTGAAATGTGGATTTAAATAATGTTCATACTTTATATTGGTAAAATATACAATGAGTTATGATTTTATTGAATTCTAAAAACAAGATATACATCAAGATATGTTTTTTTTTTTAATTTTTTTGTTTTTATTTATTTTATTTATTTATTCATTTTTTTTTTTGGGCTGCCGTATGTAAATTCAAGAATACTATTAATTTTAACGGGTAGTCCAATAATAAACTCATTCTATCATTACTGAAAGAGTTCTTATTGTAAACTTGGAAGAAAAGGATAAGAGAGCAGTACAATGAATCCCTTGGGATTAATTATCTTGTCTTGGGCAGAAAATTTTCCAGGCTTATCTTTATTTGTCACTTTAAGATAAATGAACCTTTGTCTGCAACTGATGTTTGTTTTGAAGTTAAGGTCAAGCCTGGGTGATATTTGAAAACACATGCTTCATTCTTGTTTGAATATACATTTAATTGAGTTATTATAGAATGATGTTTTTTACTGCCTTATGTAAATACAGGGAAACTCTTTACAGGTTGTTGGATATTTAGGAATTATCTTGAAATTTTATAAATACAGTTGTTATTGCATATTCTTCTTCATATATTTTTAAATTTTTGTAATCAATTAAAATTCTCATTCTGTAAGCTGCACTCTTATATTTCTACCCCTCAGTGGGGCCCTTGCTGACTGGTCAGTTTTCTAGTTCATATATGTTAATAAAATGTAATTGGTAGGTCACTTAAATAAAAGAATTATTCAAGTATTTTCAATGTATAATATTTAAAGTACTTTTATTGTTTGGTCAGATACTAGTAAATAATAATTTAAATATTAAAAAAACATTAAACAAAACACCTTGTATTGAATACTGAAAATATCATTTAAGGACCAGGATAGGCAAAGGCTAGACAATCATTCTGAATTTCTCTGTTTTGGCTAATTGGTGGTATAGTGACAAATGGGAGTATAGTAATAGCACTGACATATACACATCATTTTTATAAGTACAGTTGAACTTCGGTGTCTCGAACACAGATATCTCGAATTCCATGGATATATCGAAGTCATTTTGAAGTCCCAACTGTTTATTCTTTAAGTATTTTACCCTGGATATCTCGAATCCTCAGTTATCTCGAAGTATTTTCTTGGTCCCTTCAAGTTCGAGATAATGAGCTTTGACTGTAGATGTACTTCAGGGTTATTGCAGATTACCATACTAATTATTAGTCCCCTACCGGTGAAACCGGAGGGGACTACAGGTTTCTTCTGAGTCTGTCCATCCGTCTGTCTGTCTGTCTGTCCCTCTGTCTGTCTGTCAGTCTGTCCCACTTGGTTTTCTGCACTATTTCCTAAGGGCTTGCAGATATTGAGCTGAATTTTAGTATGTTAGTGTATCTTGATGAGATACAGATCAAGTTTGCATTTCGTTCCGATTCATTGATTTTTGACGGAATTACGACCTCTTCAATTTTTAAGGGTTTTCCACAATTGTCTTCTAAACGCTTGCAGATATTGAGCTGATTTTTGGTATGTGACTTTACCTTGATGAGTTATTGATCAAGTTTGCATTTCGTTCTGCTTCATTGATTTTTGACGAAATTATGGCATTTTCAATTTTTACAGGAACCAGATTACACTTGCTGGTAGGGGACTAGTATTGCTAATGCAATACTCTCAGAATGCTTGTTATACATGTATAATTATTGAATTGCCATTATATGGATCCTTTACAGGCTTGTATTATACTCAGATGACCCTTAAGGCCTTTGGGTATTTTGTTTTATTTACATTTTTTGCTGCAAAAACTTGCAATATTTGAAATCATTTTTTTTTAAGATATGATGTTGCTGGAAATGAGTTTGCCTTGAATTATTCGCTGTAGTCAAAATTTTTGTAGAAAAAATTAAACACCATGGACAAAAAGAAATTAAGTTTGCTATAAATTCACAGTGATTTGTTGACATACTGTAGTTGTCTGCTGTTAACACTGTGTCTGATGTAATTTTTAGTCCTCAGAGAGTGGGGAAGAATCTAGTTCAGAAAAACCTGTCAAAAATCAGTACTCTCAGGTTGGTAATTTTAAAACCTCGAGCTCCTTCCAACCTGTGAAATCTCTTATGGTAAAGCTACACCTCCCCCACCCAGCATTTTGTCAAAGCCTAACATTATCTTTTGAATAAAGACATTAATCAACCACACATAATTTTCACCTAAACCTTTACTATCAATTTGATTGCCTGTCATAAAACTGCCTTTGTATTGCACAAGTCTTATAAACAGGATATTTAGTTGAAAAACTTTCAACTTGAAAGAAAATCACAATCTTTCTACAGTTGCTTCAATATGCTTTCACATCTTTTTTGTCACTCTCATACATTTGTATTGTTTTGCACTAACAAAGCACCTTTTCATAAAGAATATTACAATTCTTTTACTTCCCAAATAATGTGTAAGCATGAGAGCCTTTGTTTTATATTCAAAGGAAACAGAGTACATCTTTAACTATGCTGGAGTTTTCTGCATGTTAGATTGGTGATATCAATTAACCTATTTTATGGTATGATAATTTGATCCATGTCAAATTCACCTGACTCCAGTTTCAATTCACACTATTCAAAAACAAAATCATTCTCACAATGTGTTAAGCATATTTGAAGAGATTCTAAATCTCTTGAGTTCCCTGGTCTGCCCCTCCCTTGTATGTAACAGTTCTTGACATACTTGTTTTAAGTAATAAGTTCCAGGCAATTATTTTTAAGTGCATATCATCTTAAGGATAAGTAGTACTAAGAAAAAAATAGCAAAGGGAAAATTGTCATTGTAAGTTAATAATAAAAGAAGAAAAACAGAAATGTCAAGAATTAGACCTTTCATTTGGTTTCTTTTTAGCTTTATTTGTCTTTAGATGAGGAAAAACACATTCAATCATTGTAAATATTTAAAGCCAAGTTCTGGAGCTGAACATGAAGAAAATGACTTGAAAGATTTTTTTTATAAACAACCAGCTATCATTAAAATTTGTTTAAAAATTTAGATTTGCAAAGATTTGAAAAAAAAGTGTAAAGTATTTAATAAATAAATTAACTACTGGTAATTGTGATATGGTAGAGATATACTATCATGGCACTGTATCATTTTACAAAGTTATGAATTTTCAAATCATACTCTTTTGCCTATTTCCTGATTTGATTAAAGGTGTGTCAATAGAGGTGACTGTGTATTTGATGATAACATTAGTTGGTACATCAGAGATTTGGTATCTTTTCTTATAGGAGTCTGAGTCAGAAGGCAGTGATTTGTTTGGGGAGGAGGATGAAAAGGAAAGTGTGTCAGGATCTGATGAGGAGGAAGAAGAGGAACCTACCCCAAAAGTAAGTAAGGAGATCCATAGGTCAAAGGTTGTAGTGAAGGGCAATCCTCAGTCAAAATAGGGAAGGTGGAGACAAAAGTAAGTAAGGAGATCCATAGGTCAAAGGTTGTAGTGAAGGGCAATCCTCAGTCAAAATAGGGAAGATGGAGACAGAAGTAAGTAAGGAGATCCATAGGTCAAAGGTTGTAGTGAAGGGCAATCCTCAGTCAAAATAGGGAAGGTGGAGACAAAAGTAAGTAAGGAGATCCATAGGTCAAAGGTTGTAGTGAAGGGCAATCCTCAGTCAAAATAGGGAAGATGGAGACAGAAGTAAGTAAGGAGATCCATTGGTCAAAGGTTGTAGTGAAGGGCAATCCTCAGTCAAAATAGAGAAGGTGGAGACAAAAATCAATTTATTAGGAGATCCATAGATCAAAGGTTGTGGACTTAGTGAAAGGCAATCCTAAGTCAAAATAAGCAAGATGGAGACAAAAGTTAGGGGACTTAAAATTCAGAGAGGAATATCAAGTTTATTTGGTGGTGAAAGTCAGTGGAAGTGTTATTCAAAGATACATACTCTGTATGTTTGGAGGTGTGTAAAGGACAGTTTCTGCACTCAGTGATGCAAGTTATTGGCTCATTGATGTAAGTTAATGGCTCAATGATATAAGTTAATGCATATAATGATCTAAGTTAAGTTAATGACTTATCAATGGACTCAGTGACATAAGTTAATGAACTCACTGGTGTAAGTTAATGGATTCAGTGATGTAAGTTAATGAACTCAGTGATGTAAGTTAATGGACTTTATGGTCAACACAGTGACATTGAACTTGTGATTTTATATGGAATATGCTTCTGATATGTTTTATTTTACACACAAATTAGGGATATATCAGCTTTTGTGAAGAAACTTGTACATGTAGAAAATATAATTGGTTTTGAGAATGCACATACCAGTATGTTTCTTTTTAAGTAATATACAAGGAAAACAATCTTCTAAAAGGAAGAATTACATACCAGTACTAAGTAACTAGTGGACTAATATAGACTAAAATAAATAACAACTGTCATATCTTTGCATTATATGAGGAAGAATCACTTTCAATGTACTTATTGTTGAAGTCTTTCATGTATTTGGTTTGAATAAATACATGTCATTTAATGAAAAATTGTGATAAGAGATTTGTTTATATGAGATAAGAGGTTTAATTTAGATGTCATATTATATACATGTATACTTAAGACAAATTTATTATGTTTTTCTTTTTTTTTTCAAGATAGTTTAGGAGATAAATTTATGGTTACATGTAGGATTTTTAGTGGAGTTTACATCTTAGGATTATGAATTTTAGGAGATACAAAGTCCTTTAGAAATTCCTTATACAGTTGTATCTTTTCAACATTTACAGAAACCCTCAGCACCTATGGATTTTGCTTCAGAATTAGCCAAAAAATTAGGGGCTCCTGGCTCAACACCAGCACAAGAGAGTGACGAGGAAGGAGAACCAGTAAAGGAGAGCAAAGAAACCAAACCAAAAGGTGGTCATTTTCCTGGGTATTACTATTTATAAATCCATTTGTTGTTGATAAATGTATATTTAGATAGTGTTCATTTGTCAGCTTTGTAAAAAGTGATTTAATGTTTACTGTCTGTTGTATTAACAGAAAAGAAAAAGCGAGAAAAGAAAGAATCAACAAGTAGTTCTAAAACAAAATCTAAAAAGAAGGGAAAAATTGGTGAGTATTTTTGTAAAATATTTATCTAAGGAATTAGTGTCTATATTTGGTGTCCATAAGTCATTGAACATAGAACACACACGATAATTCACATTAGTGGCAAAGCAACTAATACAAAAATTATAAAAGTCATACCCCCATGTTATTTTTTCATAACCACAGAAAAGAAAATGTTCAAGACATAAAGAAAACATAATTCAATATGTAATCCTGATATAATTATAAAGTATGGAATAGTAAACCTAGATATTTTAAAAATGAACATGGTTGTAGAAGAGGAGCCATTCCCTGCAGAAGAAGAAGATGATTCTCCATTTGGAAACAAAGGGGGACTTTTCTCGGGGACCAGTAAAGGGCTTTTTGATGACAGTGAGGAGGAGGTAAAGTATCCTCATTAAGTTTTTTATCTTAATTAATAAAGCACAAAATACATGTACTTGTTCTAATCAGAACAAGTGATTTCATAATTGTTTTTCTCTTCAGGGAGATTTGTTTACACAAAGTGTTTCTGAGAAAAAGACATCCAAGAAAACCATAGAATCAGACAAGGAGGAAGAAGAAGGTAGATAAACATATGACTAAATAAACCCTCTTAACACGTGCTTTATATGAAGTGTTATCTTTTTCAAAATATCAATGGTGACTTTCACATTATGCTCAGTTTTTAGCTCACCTGAGCCGAAGGCTCAAATGAGCTTTTCTGATCAAAATTTGTCTGTTGTCTGTCGTCGTCTGCGTCGTTGTTGTCGTAAACTTTTCACATTTTCATCTTCTTCTCCAGAACTACTGGGCCAATTTCAATCAAACTTGGCACAAAGTATCCTTGGGTGAAGGGGTTTCAAGTTTGTTCAAATGAAGGGCCACGCCCTCCTCCAAGGGGAGATAATTACGAAATAGCAAAAAATTAATGGCATTATTGAAAAATCTTCTTCTCAAGAACCAGTGGGCCAGGAAAGATGAAACTCATGTGGAATTATTGTCAGGTAGTGTAGATTCAAGTTTGTTCAAATCATGACCCCTGGGGATAGGGTGGGGCCACAATGGACGATCAAAGTTTTACATAGGAATATATAGGAAAAATCTTCAAAAATCTTCTTCTCAAGAACAGCAAAGCTATGATTGGTCATATTTATTTGGAAGCATCCTCAGGTGGTGCAGATTCAAGTTTGTACAAATCATGACCCCCGGGGGTAGGGTGGGGCCACATTGGACGATCAAAGTTTTGCATAGGAATATATAGGAAAAATCTTCTTCTCAAGAACAGCAAAGCTATTATTGGTCATATTTATGTGGAAGCATCCTCAGGTGGTATAGATTCAAGTTTGTTCAAATCATGACCCCCAGGGGTAGGGTGGGGCCAAAATGGACGATCAATGTTTAACATAGGTGTACATAGGAAAAATCTTCAAAAATCTTCTTCTCAAGAACAGCAAAGCTATGATTGGTCACATTTATGTGGAAGCATCCTCAGGTGGTGTAGATTCAAATTAGTTCAAATTATGACCCCCGGGGGTAGGGTGGGGCCACAATGGACGATCAAAGTTTTACATAGGAATATATAGGAAAAATCTTCAAAAATCTTCTTCTCAAGAACAGCAAAGCTATTATTGGTCATATTTATGTGGAAGCATCCTCAGGTGGTGTAGATTCAAGTTTGTTCAAATCATGACCCCCGGGGGTAGGGTGGGGCAACAATGTATGATCAAAGTTTTGCATAGGAATATATAGGAAAAATCTTTAAAAATCTCAAGAACAGCAAAGCCACAGTTTGTCATATTTATACGGAAGCATCCTCAGATAGTGTAGATTCAAGTTTGTTCAAATCATGACCCCCCCCCCCCCTCCCTTTTTAGGGGTAGGTTGGGACCACTTATGCATTTATGCTTTTCAATACTAAACTGATTTTTCCTTTTTTCCTAGCCACAGTGCTCAGGTGAGCGATCTGGCCCTTGGGCCTCTTGTTAAATTTGCATTGATTGTAAAACTATGTAGTATTAAAGTAATTTTTGCAATCATCAGTGGAATTCTTTTCTTGATATTTCAATGTCATAACTTTACAAACTTGGTGCATGTGTAACCTTAAAGGCTTTAGAGTTTTAAAAATATGTGGAAAATGCCTGTCATAAAATATTGTACATGAATATGTGTTTGGAATAACATCATTTTATGCTTAAGCAAAAAACGATATCAAACGTTACATTGCAGAACTAGATTTGCCAGAAAATGTTTGAATCTCGTTATTTATGTAGAAAAACCCAAGGAAAGAAAGAAATCCACCAGCAGTAAGAAGCCTAAAGGAGGAGTTCCTATGTTTGGAGAGGGTAAAAAATCAAAGTTATTTATTTTTTAGCTCACCTGAGCTGAAAGCTCAAGTGAGCTTTTCTGATCACCCGTTGTCCGTCCGTCCATCCGTCCGTCTGTAAACTTTTCACATTTTCATCTTCTTCTCAAGAACCACTGGACCAATTTTAACCAAACTTGGTACAAAGCATCCTTGGGTGAAGGGGAGTTTAAATTGTTAAAATGAAGGGCTAAGCCCCCTTCAAAGGGGAGATAATCAAGAAAAGACAAAAATTGGGTGGGGTCTTTAAAAAATCTTCTTCTCAAGAACCACTGGGCCAGAAAAGCTGAAACTTATGTGGAAGCATCCTGGGGTATTGTAGATTCTAAATTGTTCATATCATGACCCAAAGGGGGTAGGGCGGGGCCACAATAGGAAATCCAAGTTTTACATTGAAATATATAGGAAAAATCTTTAAAAATCTTCTTCTCAAGAACCAATGGGCCAGAAAAGCTGAAACTTATGTGGAAGCATCCTGGGGTAGTGTAGATTCTAAATTGTTCATATCATGACCCCCAGGGAATCCAAGTTATACATTGAAATATGTAGAAAATATTTTTATAAATCTTCTTCTCAAAAACCACTGGGCCAGAAAAGCTGAAACTTATATGGAAACAGCCTGGGGTAGTGTAGATTCTAAATTGTTCAAATCATCACCCCCGGGGGTAGGGCGGGGCCACAATAGGGAATCCAAGTTATACATTGAAATATGTAGAAAATATCTTTAAAAATCTTCTTCTCAAGAACCACTGGGCCAGAAAAGCTGAAACTTATGTGGAAGCATCCTGGGATAGTCTAGATTCTAAATTGTTCAAATCATCACCCCGGGGGAAGGGTGGGACCACAATAGAGAAACCAAGTTTTACATTGAAATATATAGGAAAAATCTTTAAAAATCTTCTTCTCAGAATAACAGGGCCAGAAAAGCTGAAACTTATGTGGAAGCATCCTGGGATAGTCTAGATTCTAAATTGTTCAAATCATCACCCCGGGGGAAGGGTGGGGCCACAATAGAGAAACCAAGTTTTACATTGAAATATGTAGAAAATATCTTTAAAAATCTTCTTCTCAGAATAACAGGGCCAGAAAAGCTGAAACTTATGTGGAAGCATCCTGGGATAGTCTAGATTCTAAATTGTTCAAATCATCACCCCGGGGGAAGGGTGGGGCCACAATAGAGAAACCAAGTTTTACATTGAAATATGTAGAAAATATCTTTAAAAATCTTCTTCTCAGAATAACAGGGCCAGAAAAGCTGAAACTTATGTGGAAGCATCCTGGGGTAGTGTAGATTCTAAATTGTTCAAATCTTGACCGCCGGGGTAGGGCGGGGCCACAATAGGGAATCCAAGGTTTACATTGAAATATATAGGAAAAATCTTCTTCTCAGGAACCACTGGGCCAGAAAAGCTGAAACTTATGTGGAAGCATTCTGGGGTAGTGTAGATTTTAAATTGTTCATATCATGACCCCAAGGGGGGGGGGGGGGGTAGAACGGGGCCACAATAGGTATTACAAGGTAGGAAATTAGGTGAAGAACAGCAGGGCCAAAGTTACTCAGGTGAGCGTTGTGGCCCATGGGCCTCTTGTTATTTTAAGACAGACTTAAAATATATAGGGAAGAACATTTTAAGATGATGATCAATTTATCATGAAATTTAAGGACATATGCAACATAGATTGAACTTTATTGTCTTTTTCCCTGGAGTTGAAGAGTTCCAATACTTAAAGGAACTGTGTGCTACATTTTAATGTCTATATATGCTGTTGTACACTTCTTCTATAACAAGTTTGGATAACAAAACATCTAGAGTAGATGTTTAGTAATTTTTGTATATTTTTCTTTGAATTATACAAGAATTTTCATCAATTGATATCTTTTCAAAACCCCTGGTAATATACATGCTGATTTTTTGTCAACAAACATCTGATGGCACTATAATCTTAAATTAAGATGTCTTGAAAAATTATCAGTAGGTAAGGTATGTTGCGTATGTCCTTAAAGATAAAGTAGGGTTCTTCTAAATGGAGTGGATTTGGATGTTAAATTAAACATGTTGGAGTTTGAACAGAAACGTAGAATTCCAATTTATAATGCAGAGTCGTATATATTATATTTGCAAGAATGAAGCAATACATAAGGAAGCAATTCCTGCAAATATTGAGGTTCTTTTTTACTTGAAGATGATGAAGATGATATGTTCAATGAAAAGAAAACAACAGAGAAAAAGAAGCCTTCATCTGTAGCCCCTTCAGGAGAAGGAGGTCTGTTTGACAATGAAGATGAAGATGATGACCTGTTTTCTTCAGCTGCTCCGAAAGCAACAACAGAAAAACCCAAGAAAAAAGGTAGGGAAAATGTGCAAACTAAGAAAAATATTTATACTGAAGTTATGGATAATATACATGTACATTTGATATGTTGTAGAGAGGATATATAAAATGATTCTGCCAATAGGACTGTTTGTTAATACTCATGCTGTAAGCTGCCCAGGGATATAAATTGCATACTTAGTATTCTGCGTAATTACATGTATGTTCATATGAATGCTGAGCTTCTGTGGAAATTATACATGTAGAAACAGTGTACTCACATAATACATATATGTATTACTATGCAAGAAATACTCAGTATGAGAACTTCATTTCCCTGTAGAAATTGTTGGAGGTGGAGGCCTGTTTGATGAAGAGGAGGAGGAGGAAGATTTATTCTCTGAAAACAAGAAGGAGGAACCAAAGAAAGAGGATACAGCCCCTCCAGTCAAACAGGAAAACAAAAAGAAAGTAAGCATTCAGTTAATGATTTACATGATTGCTGGTTCAGATCAGGTGATTTTTTTCTTTAAGAAACAATCTTTTGAGAATTGCTGTGAAAACCAAATTATCAAATAAATAAATAAATTTGTATCAATTTCCTGCCAAAAAAGAAAATGTATTTAATATTTTTTTAACTGGTGCATCTTTGGTAAATGACAGTATGTGGTTGCATTTTGTCAGCTTCCTCCAGGAGCTGTTCCTATGTTTGGTGGAGGTGGAGGAAATCCACTGGCTGCTGCCATCAAGAAACAAAGAAAACAAGAATCTGATGAGGTTAGTAAAGCAAATTTGACATAAAAATAAAATGTTATGTTGTTTGAAAAATTGTGGAAGGATGTGGTTGGAATTTTTTTTCCATCTGAGATTAATTTCCACTATGTCTGCGATCACAATTTTTCCACAGAAATTTGTCACTGACAATTCAAGAAATCTGCATAATTTTATACTCACAGATTGAACAGAAATTGAGATTTCGCAGAATTGTGACCCCATGGAAAAATGTACATTTACAATATTCCTTGTACATCTGTAGATACCCCAGCAATCATTCAGTTTAGGAACCATTAAGTTATTTTTAGTATCACTGAAAAGAGAGCTAATATTTGCTTGCTTTCTTTTTAGGAAGATAATGAGTGGTCAGAGGAGGAGAAACCAAGGACTGCCAGTGTTAAATCCAGCCAATCAGTGACTTCTATTAATTCGGCATCCAAGGTCATAGGGGTCAGTAATGCTAGCAAGCCCAGTCCCAGTCCTTCCAGTAATAGCTTGTTTGATGATGAGGGTGATGATAATGCTTTGTTTGCAGCTCCAGCCAAACCAAGGGCAGACAGGTCTGTAACTGTTCATATACACACAAATGTATTAGGGTAGATAATGCAGTAAGATTTGCCATGTAAGGCTTTTTAAAAGTACTTGGACTTTCTTTCCATATATATGTGAACATGTATATTAAAATCAATAGTTTGCATGTTTGGTTTGGTTATACAGAGAAGTACATGTATTAATCATAATTTATGTTATGAAAGAAAACAATTGGCATCATGATGTAGTTTTAAGTGAAATACTTTTTTGCAGTAAATCAAAGACTAAACCTACAAAGTCCTTGTTTGATGATGATGATGGGGACTTGTTTTCCTCAAAACCAACAAAGAAAACAGCAGAAAAGGTTAGTTGACAGCACCCCTGAAGGAATTTTATGGAATTTGAAATGTTGTGTATTATGAAATTTATGAATGATTTAAAGTTATGAGTAGCAGTACAAAACTTTTATAATTTTGTTTTATTTTAAACATTTTTATAAGATTATGGAGATTTTTAATTTTAGTGCAATATTCATACACATTTAAGAATGACTTTAAACTAATTCATTTTTTTTTTCATTATTTTTGTAGAAAACTCAGCCATCAGGTGGCTTGTTTGATGATGAAGAAGATGATTTATTTGCTAAGCCAAAAGACAGGTGCTTGTCTTAAAAAAATGAAACTGGAATTTTGCCATTGCTCAAATCAGTGTATATAACTTTTTTAGCTCACCTGAGCCGAAGGCTCAAGTGAGCTTTTCTTATCCAAATTTGTCCGTTGTCTGTCATTGTCGTTGTAAACTTTTCACATTTTCATCTTCTTCTCCAGAACTACTGGACCAATTTCAACCAAACTTGGCACAGAGTATTTTTGGGTAAAGGGGATTCAAGTTTGTCCAAAGGAAGGGCCACACCCTCTTCCAAGGGGAGATAATTACAAAATAATGAAGAATTAATGGCATCATTGAAAAAATCTTCTTCTCAAGAACCAATGAACCAGGAAAGATAAAACTCATGTGTAATCATTGTCAGGTAGTGTAGATTCAAGTTTGTTCAAATCATGACCCCTGGGGGTAGGGTGGGGCCACAGTGAACGATAAAAGTTTTACATAGGAATACATAGGAAAAATCTTTAAAAAATCTTCTTCTCAAGAGCAGAAAAGCAATGATTGGTCATATTTATATGGAAGCATCCTCAGGTGGTGTACAATCAAGTTTGTTCAAATCATGACCCCGGGGGTAGGGTGGGGCCACAATGGACGATCAAAGTTTAACACAGGAGTATATAGGAAAAATCTTAAAAATTCTTCTTCTCAAGTAGAGCAAAGTAATGATTGGTAATATTTATATGGAAGCATCTGCAGGAAGTGTAGATTCAAGTTTGAACAAATCATGACCCCCAGGGATAGGGCGGGTCCACAATGGATGATCAAAGTTTAACATAGAAATTTATAGGAAAAATCTTTAAAAAATTTTCTTCTCAAGAAGAGCAAAGCCATGATTGGTCATATTTATATGGAAGCATCTGCAGGAGGTGTAGATTCAAGTTTGTTCAAATCATGACCCCCCGGGGGTAGGGTGGAAGCACAATGAATGGTCAAAGTTTAACATAGGAGTATATAGGAAAAATCTTAAAAGCTCTTCTTCTCAAGAAGAGCAAAGCCATGATTGGTCATATTTATATGGAAGCATCTGCAGGAAGTGTAAATTAAAGTTTGTTCAAATCATGACCCCTGGGGGTAGGGTGGAGCCACAATGGATGGTCAAAGTTTAACATAGGGGTATATAGAAAAAATCTAAAAATGTATATTGTTGCATGTATACTTCGTACATATTTGTTTGTATTTTGGAGTTTTTTTTGTTTTTGTTTTCTTAAACCAGATATACAATATTGGTGCACATTATGCATTGGACAAATAATTGACTTCACATACAGAACTTGCTAAAGCACCTAATTTTCGTTCTGTTAGAATAGTTTACATTAAACAGATTTTTAAATACACATGTATATTTTGTATCAATAATGGAAGAAATTATTTTATGTTTCAGTGGAAAGAAGAAGCCTGTAGGAGGAGTGGCTCTGTTTGGAGATGATATCTTGCCAAAGAAAGACAAACCAGTCGAAAAGGTACAGCTTTACTATGACACTGATATACAAAACTGTCTTTGATGAAACTTGAAATCTCCTATGACAATGAAGGTGTTGTAAATAATCAGTGTAATTATTGTTGGATGTCAGCTTTACTTATTTTAATTTTATGCTGACAATAATTTATTTGTGTGAATGCTTAATGCAGTCTTATTTTTACAAATACTTTCATAAATATTTATTGAACACAAGTGTTGCTCACAGTGTGTAGAGGAACAAAGATTGACACTGGCTATTTCCTGACTTCTAAGTTCTATAGCTACGTGTACATGTATTTAAATCAAATTGGAAAAAAAAAATACTTGAAAAAAATCAATAATTAAAAATATTTCAGGAGACCGAGAAGAAGGTAGAGCCAGCAAAAACCAGTAAACCTGCCAAGAAGACTGTGTCCTTGTTTGATGAGGAGGAGGAGGAAGAGGAGGGGGATATATTTGGGGCCCCCTCAAGTAAGACAGCGCCACCTAGGCCTACTGGTGCAAGCAAGGTTAGGAAACACACTTAATCTTGTACATGTAGATTTTGTCTGACTTAGTATTTTTAGCATCTCTCAGTAATTTGTTTGCATCTGACATATGCATTGTATATTGTATCATAATGTTGAGTTGATTTCATTAGCAAATGTAAAATTCTATTGAGAGTGCTTTCCTTGTACAGTAAAATTTACTTTGTATAGCAAAGTGCCATGATTTATGATAAACATAATTTGTTATACCCTGTAAGGTCACAATAACTTTTAATACAGGGAATGAAAATCACTTCACTGTAAGTGTGAATTCATTATAAGCATATTCACTGTAATCATATTTTACTGTGGTACATGTACATGTATTTTAATCTACATGTATGCAGTTATAGGTAATTATTAAAAAGATTAAGCAGTAAAAATGAACTAATAGTAGGTTTTGATTTATGATACAGGCCAAGGATTTGTTTACTGATGGAAATGACATGTTTGGAGAGGAAGAGTCTCCAGGAGTGGACATCTTTAATCAACAAAAGACAGCACCAAAAATGGTAGGTCTACATGAAAATGGTAGGTCTACACCAAAAATGGTAGGTCTACACCAAAAATGATAGGCCTACACCAAAAATAGTAGGTCTACACCAAAAATGGTAGCACCTAAAATGGTAGGTCTACACAAAAAATGGTAGGTCTACACCAAAAATGGTAGCACCTAAAATAGTAGGTCTACACCAAAATGGTAGGTCTACACCAAAATGGTAGGTCTTCACCAAAAATGGTAGGTCTACACCAAAAATGGTAGCTCTACACCAAAAATGGCAGGTCTACATGAAAATGGTAGGTCTACACCAAAATGATAGGTCTACACCAAAAACGGTAGGTCTAAACCAAAATGGTAGGTCTACACCAAAAACGGTAGGTCTAAGCCAAAATGGTAGGTCTACACCAAAATTGGTAGGTCTACACTAAAAATGGTAGGTCTACACCAAAAGTCTACAGCTAAAATGGTAAGTCTACACCTAAGATGGTAAGTCTACATTAAAATTTGTAAGTCTTCACTAAAAATGGTATGTCTACACCAAAATTGGTTGAATTGAGTTGAAACTATAAGCCATCTACATGTATTGAGCAAAGCAAAGTCATTTTTAGCAAAAAAAAAAAAAAAAAAACCGGGGTTTTTTTCTTTTTAATTTTGCTTATTTTTTTCTATAGTTTTTTGTGTATTTTTTTTTTTGACCCAGGTAATCTTTTATTGTTTTGCCAGTATCAATTATACTAGTGTTCCTTTTGTTTTCCAGAACAAAGACTCAGCTGTGCCAGTTGCTAAATCCTCTGCTCCAAATCTATTTGATGAGGATGATGTGGGTCTCTTTGGTACCACCCAGGTACAAACATAAAACAAATTTAATGAAGAATGATCTTTTTGGCATGTTTCGTCTAAATTGGGATAAAGTATTAGAATCTTCCTCACTCACTGAGATCAGAAACTTACTATTTCAGTTAAAAGGTCATCGGAGACGTAAAAACTCAAAAGAAATTTCGATATTTAAAGTTCCATAGTGTATAAAAGAAAGAGAACCAATTACTGATGATTGTGTTAATTTTAGACCACAAAGACTGATTCTGTAGATGTTGGAGGAGTGACAACAGAAGAATCTACTGATACCCCAGATAAGGCCAGTACAAACACTATCCAATCACTTTACTTAGTGGATACTATTTTCATGATTTTCAGTTCAAACATCCAGATATAGGCATCAATTTTCTTCAGTGATTCCTGTCTCAAACCATCTTTTCTTTAAAAATGGGGGAAAAAACTGTAAACCAACTTTTATTCATGTGGGAGAAATACCCCTGAATTTTATGACTTTCTTTCATTTGCAAATATTTCTCGTCACGAACCAATTATGAACATAGCTGCCAACTAACCCAGTTTCATTGAGTAACACCTGATTTTTCAATCTGTAACCCAATTTTTTTTTAATTTTTCATGCTTTTCACCTGATTTTTGCTTAACAACCAGAAAAACACCTGATTCCCAGATTTGGTTTGTAATTTAGTTCACACATGTAGTTTCCAGTTATTTAGCCAGGCTTGGATCTACGTAAACAATACCAATTGCTATGTTGGTAGGCTGTGTATCGGTAAATTATCACTGCAGGTGTTAACAATTATCTGGGAGAAGTTTTGACAAATCAGAGTTTGAAGTCATTATAAAATGGCTTCCACTAAAAGGAGATCGTTATCAGGGCCAGCAGGAACAACACCAAAATGAAAAACAATATTTATGTACATATCAAAGAATCTTGAAAAATAACTTTATATTTTAAATTAATAGTGGCAGATGGATTCCACACTGAAGAATTGCAAATAAAAGATGTCACATAATAGTTGGTTTGCAGTGAAAAAAAAAACTTTGGATTTCTCTTCCTTCACAAAACTCATGAATTTATTTTGTATGACAAGAAACCTTTTCTCTTTGAAAACAATTATATAAAGCAAATAAATGTTAGTTACAACATTTTTTTATGCACGTCTTGTATGATTTATGATGGTGCATTGTAATTTTAAATGTAAATAATCATGTACATATATGTAGTTAATACATACATTAAATCATTTGATAAAAGGTTTAATCTAGCTTGCCTGTGTTATGTCTATTGAGGAATCTATATGAATTTCTACTATGTATCCTTATATTGTGAGAGATGTTTTTTTTTAAAGCGGGGAATAAATAAAGCAAATCTTCCAAATTCAGTTAAACTTGCTTTTTTCCTCCTACAATTATGACCTATGGAAATTATGGCAAGACAGGATAATTATGATCTTTTGTAATAATTTAATATGTACTGTATTTTGGAGTAACTTACAAATTACAGTGTTGTTGGTTAATTTGTTTTAGCTATGCTGTATACATCCAACTTCTTTCTTTTGATTTTCTTTCTTAAGTAGAGAGATGTTAAATTGAACTTTTAAATTCATATGTACATGTAAATCCCTTAAAATCTTGCAGACTAAGGAAACCAAACCCAGAAAACCAGTTGGAGGTGTGTCCATGTTTGGTGCATTTGATCCATCTGCTGCCCTGAAAAACAAAGGAAAGAAAGAAAAAGAGGTCAAGGACAAGACCCCTCCACCAAAAGGAGATTCTGAAGAGGAGGATACATCAGATAAACCAGAACCCCCTCCTCTGGATGAACCCAAAACAGAAGAAACAACAAAATCTGGCAAGTGATTTTGATACCTGGATATACCCAAATGTTACCCGAAATAACTGAACTTTGAAATGTGTTACCAAATCTGGTATTCATTTTGTATTATTTTAAAATTAATATGTACATGCAGTATTTACAGTATGATTTGTTAAAAAATTTTAAGATAATATGAATCATGTTTATTTGGACCAACCAAGGTGATATTATATAAATACTGCATGTAGTTGAGTGTAACATTGAAAATTTTTACCCAAGAAAACCATTGTCAACCTTGGCTGCTCCTGATCAGTTGACAATGGTTTTCTTGGGTGAAAATTTTCAATGTTACACTCAACTACGTGCAATATTTATTATATTATACTGAATGTTTTATACAAATACATGTAACAGTGAACCTTGCGCACATAAATTCTGTGCAGTCACTATTTTTTGGAATATCACCCGTTGTCAAGCAATGTTGACTGTTGCTATACTGGAGGATGTGGCTTCATTATTCAGCAAGTAATAGTGTTTTTTAACAAATGTTTCTCGATGAATCAGATGCAACTAATTTACATGAAAGTATAAGATATGTTATTGGTATGTATGTGTATATTTATAATCTCTGTTTGATATTCATAATAATTTATGATTATGTAATGTATTTTGTAGCTGATCCTCTGTTTGGAGGAGAGGATGATGAAAATGGTGATTTGTTTGGATCTTCACAAAAGGTACAGATTTTGTACATGTAGCTTTTCAAATAAGTCCAAGGCTAAGGAAATTAATAAGTTTGATAAAAATAATATCATTAGATTTGGTGTCAGCAGTGGGTTTAACATTTCACAGACACATCATTTTTTTTTTCAAATATGTAGAGTGAACCTGAAGAAAAAGAAGAGGCCAAACCCAGAAAACCAATAGGAGGCATGTCCATGTTTGGTGCATTTGATCCATCTGCTGCCCTGAAAAATAAAGAAAAGAAAGAAAAAGAGGTCAAGGATGAGACCCCTCCACCAAACGAGGTCAAGGATGGAAACCTTCCTCCTGAAAAGGTCAAGGAGTCTGAGGACGAGGATAGGATAGAGCCTCCTCCTTTGGATTTACCAGAGCCAAGTAAAAAGACAAAAGCAGGTACACTTGCAAGTTCCTTCATTGCTAGCACATACTTTAAAATTGTCTTGGGAAAGGAGTTGAATAAATAATTATTACATGAAAGAAATGAAAAAAAAGATTGTCATTTGAAAGTATATTTTAAATATTTGATACTTATTTGCAATTTTTATAGTTGAATGCAGCCATTAATTATGAATACTTGATTGAAAGTAATTCTGAGTGGAATTTATAAAGCTTACATAATGGCTATATAATGTTATAACATGTATTTGTTTACTTTTTGAAGTGGATCCATTATTTGGAGATTATGAAGATGATGACCTGTTTAAGGTATCTCCTGTAAAGAATATCAGCACAGCTGGTCCATCCAAACCATCAACCACCCCAAAACCTATCATTCCCTCCAAATCCAAGGTACTTTTCTGGCACTGTTCCCTGGTACCTTAAATCACAGTTCTAGTCCAAAACCAAAAATTAAGAAATTTGTAACCCCAAACAGAAACTGAAAAACACTTCACTTTTTTTTGTGTATATATTGTCTTTCAGGTCTTAAAACTTACCTGTCTTGTGTAGTCTTAAAACTTACCTGTCTTGTGTAGTCAACCTGTTTGCTTAAATTTTTCACTTAGTTCTCTAGGTAGTAGTAAATGCAAAAATCATATACATAATTATGTATTTCATTCTTTTATGTTTTTCCTAATAAAAAGAGGCTTTTTCCAGAATTCCAAACCAGAGACCTCCAAAAAAGCAAATCTATTTGGATCCCCCAAGTCAGATGAAGATGATTTATTTTCATCATCTGCAAAGCCTCCCTTTAAAGAACCCCCAACTTCACCACTTGGCCAGTCCCCACGTAAACCAGCAGGTGGAGTTTCCATGTTTGGTGGGGTGGATCCATTTGGAGTGTCAAAGAAGTCAGACTTATCTCCAGGTCAGTAAATTTTTCATCCCCCTCATTACCAGATTATTGAAAGCTCAATATTCAAAGTGCAGATGGATTTAGCTTTCTATTTCATTTGCATGTTAAAGAAAAATCAACTCTTGAACATGGAAAGTTTGAAAGACATAATTTTCTTCTTTTTTTTTTCATAATTTTTTTTCCCTAAAAAAATACATCTGTTTACGTGAATATGTGCATGTACAGTTACTGTAACTGTTGCTGTTTTTTCTTAAAATTCAGGTTCACCTACAACAGGAGAAGGGGATGTAAGTACTTGATATTCAATAATTCAAATATACTCAAAGTGTGCTATTGTGTGATTTTTTTTTCTTTTTTTGCTGTGGGATTTTTTCCATTGATTAAAAAAGAAGCAACATTCTGCTTATTTGGAGTTTGTGCACTCTTGATTTTAAATAAGTTGTGTTGTATGATTTTTGTTCATTTTTTATAATGCTGTTCAATATTTGATGTAGATTTTTTTCTGTAGACTGCTTTTATTTTCATAGTTTTAGTCCTTATCTTACACTTTGTTTGACTAGTACTGTGTGGTAGTAACTTGTGCATGCTTTTAACTGCTTGTACCACTTGTTTGTTCTACTAGAAAAAACCTGAAGCAGTCTCCCCAGTTTCTGTTGGGAAGAAAATGCCTGGTAAAATTGGCAAGTTACAGGTACAAATCTGTGTTGAAATACTACAGAGTGCATGCACTTTTTTTTCCAGGACTTGATTTTTAATTTAAAATCACATTTAAACAATTTGACATTCAACTCCTGAAAATTTTCGAAGTACCAGTATAAAGAGTGTACTGAATTGAATTATACATATGGGGCAACATCATATATATAACATTTAATAATTTTGATAAGGGAGAAAATGAGGAGTTGAAATCAATTGCAAGGTATTGAAATTTATTGCATATACATGTATATGTATAACTAAATTGAAACTTTTGCCACACATTTTTTTTTAACCAGATGAACTTAGGAATAAATCCAGCAGCCATGTTACCAGGGGCGACACCACCTATCAAGGAACCAGAGGTGGTTGCAGTAGGATTTGATACTCCTGCCCAGGCTAACACTCTCCATAGTGCCAATAAAGTAAGTCAAACACTCTTCATAGTGACAGTAAAGTAAGTCAAATGCTCTCCATAGTACAAATAAAATAAGTCACTCTCCATAGCACCAATTAAATAAGTCACTCTCCATAGTGCCAATAAAGTAAGTCAAAAACTCTCCATAGTGCCAGTAAAGTAAGTCAAACACTCCCCATTGTGCCAATAAAGTAAGCCGAACACTCGGTAGTGCCAATAAAGTAGACTTATCACTCTCCATGGTGCCAATAAAGTAGGCCTAACACTCTTCATAGTGCCAATAAAGTATCGATTATCTATACCTTAAAGTAGATTTAGATTGTTGTTTAGAAAGTCCCATTTTCAGTTTTATTTTTGTATAATTGAAGTTAACTGGGCACATATCATCATTTTTACATTTATATGGTTCCAAAAATAGTCCACAAACATATACTGACATTTCTACCTAAGGTCTGAAGCGAAGATTACTTTAAAATTTCATTTTAATGAGATAAATTATATTTAATTTATTTGTTTTCTGTCTTTCTGGTAGAGTCGTGCCAAAATCCAGGCAAAGAGACGTCCCCCAAGTCGTAAAGGCCGACAGGGAGGAGGTCCTGGTGGAGATTCTGCCCCTTCTGAGGCTTCTCCATCTCCTCAAGTGGAGACACCTCCAGTGGAAAGCCGAGTACCTCAACCCACATCTGATTTATTTGGTAATGATGATTTACTCGGGGAGGAGGACACAAAAAATGATTTCATGGCCCCACCCCCTGTACCTGATAGCTATGAGGAGGAAAACAATGATTTATTTTCATCAACTAGGAAAAAGAACACTATAATGTCAGATGAAGACCTGTTTAACCCTGTGATTTCTTCTACTTCCAAGCCAAAAAATGTGATAAACTCCATGAATGATGATGATGGAGATGACATTTTTGGTTCTTCAAGTACAGTAAAAACTACTTCAAAATTTGTCAGTAAAAGGAAAGTTGAAAATGATACAAAAGATGCATTAGTGAATGGAGTTGAAGATGTGTTATCAGACAAGACCCAAACTTCTAAAGTCATAGAGCCAGAGGATGAGGACCTTTTTGCTGCGAAACCAAAGGTGAAGAAACAGACTGATTTTGAAAAGTTACTAGATGACAAACCAGAGGAAACTAAAACTGAATCCAAACCTTCTTTGGAGGAGGACCTGTTCCCTGATTCCACTCAGAACAAGAAACCTGGTAAGAGAGCAAGACTGTTATTCATCTTATTAAATGTACAAAATTGTTGAAGACATTTTCAGTAGAGAAGCATATTTGTGTATATACAGAACACTTGTGTTTAATACTTGCATTTAGTCACTCGTTTGTAGTATGATGTACATATATGTTGCAAACCATACAAGTTTTGTCCTTGTTTTTTTTTTTTTTTTTTTTTTTTTTTTTTTTTTTTTGCTGCATAATCCAGTGTTTTGTTTGGGCATATGCATAATAAAATCAACTTATTACTTGTTTTTAAAGAGAGCAAACCAAAGATGCCAGAAGCAGCAGATGATGACATTTTTGCTGATTCCTCATTGAACAAAAAAGCTTCCAAAGCAAAAACTGAAGAGAAAAATGTAAATGAGGTTAGATCTTTAATCTCCTTCAAATTTGATTATATTATTCAAATCACAATATTAAACAATGTTGAAAAACTTTTGGATGACTTATCTGGTTTTTAAAAGAGAACATTATACAGCCATGTGTAAATTTACTGGGTATGTAGATGTTGTTTGACACTGAATTTTAGACATATCATATATATCAATATCAATTTTAGCCATATATTTATCCTATCTTTAAAAATTTCTTACAACTACAATTAATATTTTAGGCCATTTAAAGTTTTTGCAAGTCATGTGTATGTTTAAGACATTAACCATGATTGTGTTTATTGGTGTCAGTAATGAAACAGATTGCTATAACCCCAGTAAGTACATACAAACACCATTGTTTGTTTTAGGATGATGAACTATTTGGTAAACCTACTCAGAAAGGTAAAAAGCCAAGCAAAGCTCGGCCTAAAACAAAGGATGAGGACTTATTTAAGGACAACACAGACATTTTTGCTGATGTCCCAGCAGCAAAACCAAGGGAGAAAAAGAAGAAAAAAGCCACAGAAAAGAAGAGTGTTTTTAAAGACGATGATGGTAGGTTTTATATTTTTTGTTACAATTTTAAACCTCACAGTTCTGAGATTTTACCACATCATTTGCTTCTGTCTATTACTTTAATGGGTAAGCATTATTATTCTAGGCCAAAAAGTTGTTAAAGAATGTATCATGAGCTAAGCTCATTCTGATCGGGGGTGGGGGGGGGAGATAATTTTTGTTCGGAGTCATGACTTTGTAATGTCAGAATCGTATAGTACATACAGTATACATGTAAATATTTACGTAGTGCAGACAGAACAGTGTCAGTTCAAAATTGTTTAATAATGTAATTTTTCCTGAATAACATGCATTATTTCAAGTACGCCTTATTTTGTAATTTGTGCCACCCAGGAGTCATTGGTTCCCTGATCTTCTTGCTTATATTCTGTTTAGTCAAAAAATATCAAACACAGAAAATAACACATATTGAAATACATTTTTTGTTCTGTAGTACGTTTTCATCAGCATGATGACTAACATATACTTCAATGAATTTGGGAGGTTTTTAAAACCTAGAATATTCTTCCATGTGCATATTTTCCTTTCCTTTAATAAAAAAAGAAGACTCTAAAATGCCATATCAAATCTTAAAGGGGTATGGTGAGGCCCAAATCTGGCCCCTCATTTGACAAAAAAATCAACATACATGTATTTGAAATCATGATCTTTTTAAATTCATGTTCATCAAAAATGAGGGATGATGTCTGGTTCAAAGCCAGAAGTAATATTAATCTACAGCACCAAATAGTACAGGGATCAGATTAAAGGAAGATAATTAATACAATAAAGACACTAGAAATGGAAAGATTACATCATCTTTGATTTTCATCAAAGTTTTGTTACATTTATTATTTTCTTTTGGAAACATACAGCTTAACTTTTATTTAAAGGACACATAATGTGCTTCCGAATATTGAATATATAAGTAAATGATTAAGGTAGACTATTATGTAGTGTTTTTTTAACAAAATATACAATTAAATGAAGGAAAAATCGATAAAAATTTAGAGATTAAACAAGTTTGTGACCTTCCTGTAACCTTTGTGTGTTTTGTCACCAATTTTAAAATCTATAATTTTGAAACTGTAGCATTGGTTCACTCAGTAAACTTTAAGGTTGAAAAGTGACCACAACCTTCTTTGTCCTTGCATTCAAATTGTATTTTCACACCAACTCATCTTTGTTTTGTAGATGACATTTTTGCAACCACACCTAGCAAACCAAAAGCCAAGAAGGAGAAGAAGACAGAAGCACCCAAGAAGACAGCTACAGATGTTACAGATATATTTGATGATCCACTGAGTTGACACATACCGTGATCTAATACCCTAAAAATGTTACAAAAATTGTGTTACAAAGGTGCTAATTAACAATGGCAATGTAACAATAAGTCTGTTGTATCTAAATACATTCTTACTTATTATGAACAAAAAAAAACAGACTTAGCTCATATTCTGTAATGATGCTAAGGTTGTTAATTTCAGTTCTTGTACAACTGATAGTTAAGTTTTAAAAATATATTTTGAATATTGCACGACTTATATGTATTTTTTAAGTCAGTGGAGATATTGAGTATGTATTAATTCCATGTAAACAAAGCTTTAAAAAATCAATTCAGAGCACATTTTTAAAGGTAAATTGGTCATGCTGTTTGAAGATTCAAAGCATGTTGCCAGCTTTTCTTGCAAATACGACCCCCAGACCTGGTAAAGTTCTTGGCATTTTGTTAAGTTATCCAGTTGTAACTCGTGCAAAATAAGAATCATGGCTCTTTCAGAAGAGACCTTTGTTACAAGTAACAAGACGTATAAATAGGTGTATAAATGTAGTGAATTGAAGGTCAAAAAACAAGATGATCAATTCTAAAGTCATTGCAATGGAAAATGATGTATCTTGATCAATTTTAGATGATAGTCAAAATAGGTTACCCACAACAACAAAAATGCAACAGCTAAATTGTAGTGGTATGGACAGACTGACCTCATCAACCCAAGAACCAGGATTTGCTGTGAAATCTTGGAAAAAATAAGTTTAGCTCACTTGAGTTTACATTCCCAAAGTTTAAGTTTTTTAAAGGAAGACCATTTCCATAGAATTGATAAGCCCTTTCTGGACAAGACATGTAGGGATGATGCATGTAGAATGTTATACTAACCTTTATGCTTTTCAGATATAAGCATATATTTTCTAGAGAATTGACACTCAAGTTTGTGAGCAGACCCAAAATGCATCAGCTGACAAAGTTTGATGTTTCTAAGTCTCTTATTACTTGAAATATTTAGATATTTCCTTAAAAAATTCAAAAAGTAGGTCACTGTGACCCACTTTTTAGTTGACATTTGACCCAAGATGCATCAACTGTCAAAGCTTGATGATTCTAAGCTAATTAGTACCCAAAATATTTAAATATAGCCATAAAATTTCAAAAGTAGGTCATGCTGACCTACTTTTCAGTTGACATACTCCAAGGACCCAAGATGTATCAACTGACAAAGTTTGATGATTCAAAGCCAATTAGTATCTGAAACATTGTTATATAGCCATGAAATTCCAAAAGTACATGTAGGTCACAGTGACCTTCTTTTCAGTTGACATACTCTGAGGACCAAAGATGCATTAACTGACAAAGTTTGATGACCATAGGCCTCAAAGTGTCCAAAATATGCCTTTAATTGAATATGAATGCCTGCAGTTGAAGAAGTAGGTCACTGTAACCTACTTTTTAATAAATATAACTCTTTACCTCTCTGAGTATCTGAAATAATGACCTTAAATGTTTTGAAAATGATTAGCCAAAAAATTCCTAAAGTAGGTCACAGTGACCTACTTTTTTGTTGACACACTTTAAGGCTCTCTATAATACATAATCTGACGAGTGTTGATGATCTTAGGCTTTAAAATGTCCAATGTATGCATCAAAATTAAATTGAAAAGGGATATGCAAAATCAGAAAGTAGGTCACTGTGACCTTCTTTTGAGTCAACATGATATGAGGTCCTAAGATGCATCAACTGACAAAAGCTTGATGATCCTTGTCTTTATAGTAAGCAAAATATCAAAGTTTATTTAACAAAACATAATTTGTGGTCAACTTTGAAGTGACCTTGAGACCACACCCTTTGTCACACGGTGATGCCTTGAACAATATTTAATGTACAACATGTCTTCATCCTTGTGTGTAAGTTTGGTGATAATCTGCCCAGTGGTTATTGAGAAGAAGATTTTTTAGCAACCAGAACTTTTGTTTTTATTTTCCTAATTATCTCCCTTTGTTTATGGGTCACATCCCTAGTTTTAGTATAAAATAGAGCCCTTGGGCCACGAATACTCTGTGACAAATTTGACAAAAATCGGCCATGGGGTTCTTGGGCTGTGGCCCATAATCTAAAAAGTTTACGCACATTGCACAAATGGCCATAGCCTTAGCTCTTTGAGCCTTTGGCTCATAAGAGCTAAAAATCAGCATTCATTACTAGGAGTTTTGAACAGATATCAAATGATGAAAATTTCTTTGTTTTTAAAACAAAAAGATTTTAAAAATATAGTTTTAGCTGGTATTTCCTCATAATTTGATTCAAAGGAGGTCAACAGCATTAAGAGGCATCATAAAATCGCACAAAGGTCTTTCACTTATTGGAACTCTTAAAATATACAGGGAATAAGAAAAATGAAGTTCAAAATTGTTGTGTATGTCCTTATAAATGATAAATTCCCCTGATGTAAATTGTATAAAGCAAGTAACATGCCTATTCATTATGCCTGCAACACTGGGAGGAAATATACACATATTGGTTTGGCTTGACTGTCTTGGGAGTCATCATCAGTCATGCTCAGGACTAACTCTTTAACCTTTGACTGGAATGGATTCACATTTCCTAAGACCTTGAGATGTGTCATGATCTCAACTCAAAAGTCTCATCTTTGTGAATGATACTGGACAGCGAGATACCCAGATTGTAAAATGGGTGTCTGCCAACACTTCTAGAATGCTTAATTGGAATGAACACAGACTTAAGTACCAGTCAAACTTCGTTCATCAGGACAATTGTGTTTCCAAGCAAAGTGTCCAGATGAATTAAGCTTCCAGTTTACAGAAACATCCCGCTTTGTATAATTGGTAGAAATAAATGTAAATTCTGTACCCCTTAGATTTTGTCTGCATGGTGAAGCATCCAAATTATTGGCATAAAAGATTACTATGTATTGTTGGTGTTTGATCCACAGCTATGTGATAATCTGACTCATTATGTTTCAATGGTCAAGGTTACTGGGCAACAATTTTTAAAAGTCCTTTCTCAGAATGAATGTAAATTCAAGTACACTCATTTTAGGGTCCTATCTAAGGACAACAGCAGCAACATAATCCATAAACTTGCAGTCAGCAGTCAGATTATTCAATGGAATGAAAAGAGCAACACAAAATGAGTTGAAATAGTTTATTAAGATTTTGAATATGCAAATGCTTTTGGCTGTGACTCCTATTACTGACAAATAATATCAGTATATAAATTACGAGTTAACCATAGCATAATATAAAGCATGCAGTGGAACTATTGTATTATGTAACAGAATGTGAACTTACCTATACTCAATAATCTGTTAAATAAATGTACGATTACATGACTGTTCACCTGAGCATTTTCTTTTTTAAATTTTTGCACTATTGCACAAAATACAAATTTGCTAGAGATTCTGTATTTGTATGAATGTTCAATCCATTCATATGAGACTCAAACATTAAAGAGGTTCACCTTACCCATAAAAAAAAAACTTCTCATTTGATGGTTGTGCTTGAAAGAAATACTCAATCTGTACTACTGTAATAAAATCAACTGAAGCTAGATGTACCCCAATTCTTAACTTTAATTTACTGTCCAACAACAGTGTTTCTGTGTGCCTGGACTCACATGAAATCATAATAATTCTTAAAATATGCCTACGCATGCTCAAATTATTTAGAAAATGCAGTACACATGTACCATCTCAAAATGTTGTAAATGACAGTAACTTGAAAATTATCCAAAACACTCCCCTTTTATGGGGAAAAAAATACAGAAAATAGAATGTGTAGCTCAGAAAAATACCTTAACCAAGTACAAATGTACATGTATGCCATTTGTACTAAACATTTCAAAAAATTTAAATATTAAAAAAATAGTTACAAGTGACGCAACGAGTTAACCATAAGTTATTTTTTTTCAGAATCTCAAAACACATCAGATATTCCAACAGCATTTATAATTTACAAATAAGATATGGATTTCTAGCAGAGATAAAACTTCATTAATGTTAAGAGCAGATTAATTATTGCATTCTGTAAATGTTGAATCTTGCTGGAAATATTAACATTGGGACTAAAGGCAAATTTACACAGAGGTAGAGGTGTTTTGTTTTTAATCTTTCATACTCATTCGGAAATTCCATAAACTGACCTCCATATCTTATTAAAATATTACATTGCACTGAGAATGGCATACACTTTTATACAGAACTGCTGCCCGACTTACTTCAATCTTGTCATCCTCAACATAAATCAGTTAAATACCTAACAATGATAGAATTTACTGGACCTGTATCAGTAATCAAAGAACTGCAGTGAACTGCTCCCAGCAAATCTAGAAAATTAAGACAATAAAAAAAGTCCCTAATGGGTTTAAGAATATTTAAACTTTACTTATAATTAAATCAATATGACAGATCATTATATACATGTATATAGTTAAGTAATTTTAAGAAATGTTTCAAGCATTGTTAAATTACTGCATTTCAAACTCCATACACAAAAATTGTTAATTGGCTACAAGATAAAATCATTATTAGATGTTGAAAATGTGTAAACAATTTATACCCGTTTGATTCACAAATGGCGTAAAAATATTAACAGCAATTCAAATCTCAAAGAAAACTACATATTGCATACACATCTATAATAGTAAGATGTGTCTAGGTCAGTGCATAATAATTACAGTGCAAACAATTAGTCATTCTAAAGTAAAAAGTTTCAAGTACTAAACACATAATCAAATATATCTAATCGATAAAGTGAGGTTTATACCAAGTCAAAATTTGGTTAGAATTAGGGTAATACAAATTCTTTAGTGCCATAGGTACCAAATATATAAATCCACAAGCAGATTGAACACACAATTTCTTTGGCTTATATGTTATACATGTACATGCATAGCAAGAAAAGAAAATGGCAATGATTTAAGTAAGGCCTAAGCATAGTTTTTAATCTCCAGTCAACAACAGCTGACACTGGTTTTATTAATGGTACATGAAATAACATCATTTATAATTCTTTAACTCTACCATCACTCTCCCCTGAATGACATACTGTAGATTCCTTATTATGAGGAATAAGTGGCAGAAAAATCTTAAATCTCACTTTTATTTCCATCATCAACATTTAGTACATAATTTGAATTAGTGAAAAATAAATACATGCATGTGAGCTAATTTTTCAGAAAGAAATGATTCTCAGTAATTACTCTCATTTTTTTATCAGAAATTTTTATTGATAAATTTAGTTTCTCAATAATTTTACCTTTGAAAGATGATTTCATTCCTTCCCTCTGATTTGATTTTTTTTATTTATTTTTTTTGTTGGAGGACTGTGTATCCATGTCCTAATGAATATTTTACAACTTCCACGAGTAATCTTCATACCATTTCCATATCTTCATACCATTTCCATATTTTACTATTTTTGCCCTAACTTCTATGAGAATCTTGATACCATTTCCACATTTTAGAACATTTGGCATTGTAGCCAAGTCAACATTTTTTTTCACGGTTTCCTGCACAAGTGAAGTAACAACAAGCAGCAAGTTTTTTTAGGGTAAGAAAAAAAACTTCTTTATGTTTGGACTACCAGTAGTTATTGAATAGATCACCAATGAAGAAAGTGCCACATAATAATGAGAAGTACATTTTATTTCGTGGGGATATTAATTTACATGTACCCTAGGTAAAAGTCTGGACCTTTAAAACAGGTGATACTGATGATGACAATTTTTATAACAATGAGCTCATGCATCAGAGGTCACAAACCTTATTTAATTCTCAGAAACTGGAATGCTTGCAATATTCTTGCAAATAAAATCAAATCTGCCATATTGCCAAGTTAATTACTCACAATATAAGGAATCTACAGTATAACATCAATAATCTAAAACTTTTTAATGTCATTACCTCATTGGTACATGTATATTGTTACTTAACGTACTGTTAAAAAGAATGCTACAATGTTTAATTATAACTAATTATATGTGTACTGCAGATCAGTTGCTTCTTACATATGTTTCATAATATTCTTACAATTAGTCAATTCTTATGGAAGAGCAGTTACAGTATGTCATCAAATCTTTGTACCTGAATGCTAAGATAATAGGTAACCAACTAATGAAAGGCAGAACCATACAAACTTTCCCATATCTCATTTCAAATGATCATCATTCTACAACACATATTCCTGCGGGGGAAAAAATCTCTTGTGCAATTTTACCAATCTCATATGAATATTTAATGGAATGTCCCATTTCTCATATGTCATCTCGGATGACTGTCCATTTTGAAAATGCACTAATATTTAGTAGGCAAAAAAATTATATACTGTACATGTATATACATATATCTATACACAAAATTCATACAACTGACTGTAGGTAACATTTAAATACATGGAATATCTAAATGCACTGGGAATGAGACAAAATCACAATATTATAACGTGATTATTAACAATGACAAGTTGTATCAACAGTAAACATTCTCGTAACAATCAAAAAAACATTGTTCAAGATCTAAAGACAATAAAATGTACGGATCGATCAATCTAAGGTTTTCAATACTGGTACACATTAAACATTACAAAAAGGTAGATCTTTCAACAGCAGAACAGCACTATCTCAAAAAACATCTGGTTTTAATTGCACTTTTAAGGTGTGATAACATTAGTTAACATGATTTATTATTCAAAGCAAGTTAGGTTTTATCAAATAATGTATTTCACAAATATTTAAGAAGATGAAAACATCTAAGACCTCCTAAGAAATAAAAAGGAAAAAAAAAACAATGAATCCATAGAGTACATGTGTGTACAAATATTAATATCTGTGCTGTGTATTTTATACCAAAATATCAGCAATTAGGTTTTGACATCTGCAAAATAGCTACTGTTATATATAGAGGAAGATATAAATTACAATTACTGTACATGTACTTGATTGAAATGGATTAAAATAAACAGAACTGGCTTTAAATAATATGAGACATATAATGTGATCTGAGCAACTATTATGGAGGCCCACTTTAAAAAAAAAAGTCAACAAAAACTTGGGAAGACCCTTATTTGGTAGACTTCTGTGAATACTGTCTGACTTGGTAACTACCCAAGCTCTTGTCATGTGATTATGGTGACAAAAGTTTTGGGGAAAACCCCCCGTCTACCTGGCTCTCCATCAATCTCACCTTCCTGTAAACAAACATTTGAGAAAATAAAAATAAAAATACAAGTGTTACATATGTTAATATGTTAAGTGAGAATATTATAACCAAAATATATTTAAGCTCCTTTCTAGAGAGTACATCTGTGTACTATATAATATTGTGTGCTATCCCCCCCCCCCCTTTTCCAAATTTAGTCATCTCTTTACTGGAAACTGTTTATATATACACATCATATGAATATTCATCCAAAATGTATTTATGCATTTCATTACTTACAGGGAAAATCAGACACAGTATGTTTATAGTATAATTAGTGTGGTAGCATAAACTTGAACCTTCAATAAAACAACTTTTACTTCTGCTTTGTCTTCCATGATTTAATGGTTTTACTGGATTTTTTTTTAAAATGATCTTATTTTTACCAGTCTTTTCTTAATTGACCCCCCCCCCCCCCCCCAAACATGGGACATGGTTCTTCATTTGAACAAATTTAAATACTCATCACCTAAGGATGCTAAACACAAAGTTGGAAACTGGTACAGTAGTTCTGGAGAAGAATTTGAAAATGTGAAAAGTTTACAGATACTTAATGACAGATGGACACCAGACACTCTGATCAGAACGATTCACTTGAACCTTAGACTTAGATGAGCTAATATTCCACACAGCTAACAAGCTGAATTCCTTGTTCTGAAATCTACACAATGTGAAAACTCAAAAGAAAGAAAACCTTAAAAGTTAAGCACATCTGTTTTCCTAATAAATGCTTCTATGTAATTCTGTTTCATTCTTTAGCAAGTTAGCTTAAGTGTTAAAAATTTACAAAAACAGAACTTAAACACAGTTACACTTACAAGTAAAAATCAATGGATACCACAATTTACTGCAGATCACATGGTACATGTACTATAAATTAAGTGCATACTTACCCACCATTCATCTTCCTCTTCCCCCGTAATAATGATTATCTCCCCTTCCCTGAATGTCAACTCGTCATCATTGTCAGCATCACAGTCATATATTGCTTGACACTTCTGTCCTATCGGCAACTTCTTCTGTGTATTCAACATCAATATCATTTACTTAGACGAAATGCATCAGGTAAAATTAAAGTAACATTTATATTTTTCCCCTCAACTATCTAGCTTTTAAAAGAAACTGAACTTCCTTTGCTCTGGAAAGATAATTAAAATGCCTACGGAAGATGTATAACATGCATTCTGTCCATTTTTTGAAGACTGTGAATCCTTAAACAATGTAGACCAACAGATTCAGAATAATCATAGTATCAGCCAAGACAACAGGCAACAAAGACAGTGGAAGGCATGTTCTTAAAACTAAATTTATACAGATTCTCTTCAATGATCAATATTTACCTTGACCCTTGGGGCTGGTAATGGTGGTGATTCATTTTCAGTAGTAGGAGAGTTAGGCTGTGCAGGGCTACCATCTGAATAAAAGTAAATTTCTGATATGTTACCTTTTCCAGGGTTCAAACCCAAAGTGGTATATCTACTTCGAAACATATCTCTGATTATAAGATGGAAAAGTTAAGCTTATATTTCTATATTTAGATGTACATGAAAATCAGGTATGAATTCTATTACATTTAAATTTGTGGGGGTCAATGTTGGCAGGCAATTTTGTGGGGACTTCCTGTACATGTATATACAGAAGATTCCATGAACCGATATGTTAAACAAAGTTATCATTTGTGGGGATGTAAATTCAAAGGTAAGGGTGACCCATGAAATCCACAAATATTGGTCCCCCATGCTGATTCCACATATTCTCTCTTAATTGTTTATTAAGTACGTGTACTTACCAGCTGAGCCAGATCCAGATGATCCAATTCTGGGCCGGGATGACCTACAATTAATGGTATAGAAATTACTTTTCAGTAATTTTTTTTTTGGCTTACTTGGAAATTTTTTAAAAGAATTTGTTACAACACTGATACAAAATCTATTAAATAGATGAGTTAGTGCCAATTTTTAGTCCACCTTCACAAAATAAAATATTCATTCTTTGAAGTACAAATTGCAGCAACTGTTCAGAAATCATTCATAATCCCAATATGTTCTTTGATCTTAACGATGCTTTAAAAATTTATGTGTACTACCTCCTTTTCATATTTTAAAAGAATGCTTAGTAGAGGTATGCATTAAAAAGATGCATAGTCACATGTACATTGTCTTCAATTGAGAAATTTTTGAAGAAATTTCTGTTTTGTAAATTAAGACTAACCTAAATTATCCCTTCTTAAGGAGTCCACTTACCTGTTACTATTGACAGTTTCACCTGGCAAACGATTCCCAGTTAAGTGAATAGTGTTCCTGGCATCTGGTGGGGCTGGTCTTGGGGGTGGGTCTGAAGGACTTCTTCTGTGGAAAACTCCAATACCACTCCCCTCTGACCTGCAAAATTTGATAATAGTGTACATTACTTCATCTGTAAGGACTGTACTAAATTCAGGATAAAATCATAAATGCATGAACCACTTACTTATTTCTACTATGGCCAGGTGCTGTGGTGGGAGGGGGTGGTGGGGGTTTTCTCCTTGGTGGGAGAGGGGGTCCTGGTCCCAGTTGCCCCTGTGGGGCAGTAGAATCCCTTGGAAATGAGCCTCCATTTGAAGGTGACTGATTGTGGTGCACTGTCAAAAATAATCAGAAATGCTGCTACAGAACATCAACAGACTTCAAGTTGATTAAACAAGACCTTTTTTATCAAAACATATTGCTGGCAAGAAATATAAACTGTCCTCAAAACCACTGTACACTATCCCTGGCCTTTAAACAATGAAAATTAGAGATCAATTAGCTTAAGCTGAATAAATTCAAGAGTCTCAGGAAAAGCATTTCTTCAAAAAGCTTTATTTGTTACAGACATGCAGCCAAAAAAAAAAAAATTCTGCTGTGAAAGGCTACACTTCTTAGTGTAATTTTCTAATCATTTAAAATTGAAAATAATAACACAAAATAATCAATATAGATTTACTTGAATCATACATAACCTATTACATGTTTATTAAGAGTAATTATATCACACATGCAGCCATTTAACCTAAAAATCTTAACCACAGGGAATAATGACATGCTAATCTATTGTACAACAACGCCATATTATTTATCAATGTAATTTTGAATCGATGCATTTTGAGTATAACATGCTAATGCTCTGGCAGCCATCTTTATGTACAGAACTTGGTTATATATTAAAAGTTATGCTGAAATGCTGCTTCAGATGTCTGTAATGAACTATTTATGAAGTGATGCTTAATAATGCCGATGGGGAATCTATCCATCAGACCATCACCAGATTTGAATAACTCAATATCTATCCATGCAAAAATAAAAGATATGACAGCATATGAAAGCTTTCAGAGAATTACATAGATAATAGAATGTCAATTCATAAATAAAATGTTTTAAATTTGCACAGTTCCATTGTGGATCTAAAGAATTGTAACACTGCCTAACACGTGAAAATCAACACAAGTAAATACCAACATTGACTAAAAAATAAAAATACAACATATTCTAGAACCAAATAAGACTTAATATGAAGAAAATAGAGTACAAATGTATAATGTGTCCTGCAATATGAATAACACCTGTATACATGTAAGAGTATGCAAGAATACATGTATATATAATGTATAATGAGGTGTGGATGTTCTGAGAAGCGAGGCGTTCCATTCAGCACAGAACAACAGAAGTGACGAGCGAAGTTCTCCATGCTGAATACTCACAACCACGTAGACTTGTTCTCTGTTTGACACTCCCAAAAGATACTGGCTCTGATGAAAACAGGGCAATTTAGTTTCCATACAAAATTTAGTATATTCCACTACAACCCACTGGCTATTTTTGAGTCGTAGAAAAAGACCTTACCGGTGCTTAAAAATTAAGTAACAAATGAATCAGTGCCTGATCACTAACTATTATCTTTCCTTTATGTATAGCATCTAAAACCAAATTCGAACTGATGAAGAAATCATTCATTATTTGCAAAATAACAATCCAGTTCAATTCCACTGCTGCTTAATAACTCCAACCAAGCCTTCACTTTTCTTATCATACCTTGTTATGGGTAATGTATATCTATGTCTAAATTGTGAACATCTTTTGTAAAGATTCAATAAGAATTCAATAGGAGTTCTATCCTTCTCCCAATACAAACAAAGTTCTGAAACTGCAGCTGTCCTCTTCCATCCCACTGATTTACTTCATTAACATGCAATGTGCATATCATTTTGATATTATATTAATGATTTTTGATGTAGTCCATTTAAATTATATCTTGAAATGCTATGCTTCAAATGCAAATGAAAAATATATATATATATATCTTAAATTATGTCATCAAGATAATAAGATCATATTAAGTGTATTTTGTGCTTTCATAATTTCCCTTCATAAATATTTGTGTTCTATATCTATATGTTATTATATTTTTACTTTTATGTAAAATAGAAAATTCCAATACACTGTAAGAAAAACAGCATACTCAAGTCCAGTATCAAACAGAACTCAAATACAGATAAATGCAACAAAATGGGCATGGTTATATTGTGTATATCATATATGGCATATATCGAGCCACTGATTACTGAGTCTTTGACGTCGCTTTTTCTTGACCGATACAATCCAAGGTGGTGGCTTTTTCTGAACAACCTGTATGGGGGCCCCTTCTGCTGAAGAAATCTGATAAATTTCCCCGTAAGATGCTTTCCTTTTTATGACACGACTCAGTCTATTTAAAAACTCCGCTGTAAATTTCAAGGTGTTATTAACACTTCATAATTCAAAAGTTTCAGATTGATAAGTCTGAAAGGGTTAGGTAAAATACAACGTACAGTCATGTAACTAAAATTCCTCCACCTCCCTAAGGCAAGTCATTCAAAATCACATACTAAGATTTCTATCCTATTTCCAACACACAACATTAAACTTCAAATTCTGTGCATGTATATGGGTTTTTTTTTCTTATGTACTTTGGAAGTTCAGTTTAAATAAACAGTCAAACCTCAATATCTTGAACTCAATGGGGGTGGAGAAAAAACTTCAAAATATCCCAGGAATTGTATATTAAATTGTTTACAAATATATGTGGACATAAAATATACAGCCATAATTTCTAAAAATAATAGCCATAAACAAGTAATGACAAAACCTTCAATTCGAATTAATACTGATTTCAGCTGCCTGTATTTTGTTAATAAAAATTCCTCACCAATTTCAAATCTACAAATAATTACAAGCCATGAAAATTTCTAAAGTGCTATATTTTCAGCAACTAAAAACAAAGCCCTACTTTTTTTCGCTGGTTGTAGTGAACTGCTATCAGATCGCCCTCTGGTTTCAGAATTGTCTTTTGGAACAGAGAAGGAACTTGCCAACTCTGAGGGGATACCAGTTACCAGGCTCTGGGGGCGTGACCCACGCTTCCTCTCAGGAGTGTTCTGAAATGCAACACAACAATCACAAGACCACTTTAAAAACCATTGTTTTATAAAGACATTGCAATACAACAATAATAGACTAAAGATTTTGTTTTGCAGAGAATTTAAGTTTTTCTAGTGTGTTAAAATTTTCCAGATTTTTAAACACCAAATACCAAAGAAGTCAAGTATAGAAAAAAGGAGAAGAAAAGATCTAGATTTTCAAAAATTAACTTCATTCTGTGTTTAAAGAAAAACTTTCAAAATTAGTATCGGTTTACAATCATGTCTACTACACCATTATAATACTGATGAACATTTTTAAAAAAAATGGAGGAAAAATATAAGTGCATTATCATCATGCAAATCTATTTTAAATATGAAAATGTTTTCTTGCTGTTAAAACATGGATGCAATTATTTTAATATTATTCATAAAACAGGATGCTAAATACATGTCCTATCTAGCTAATTTATTACAAAAAGCTAAGTCATTTTTTATCCTCTACAAATAAACATAAACATTTGTTAGACGCCTGCAGTTGTATTTGCGCAGCAATTTGCTTTATTTAAAGGCATTGGCACCATAAAATAAGAATTAAGCCCAGGCCAGTGTCGTGAGTAAAGGTCAAGGTCAAGAGAAAAAAGACAGCACTAGCCACGATATTAACAGCTCACCTGATCGTTAATTTGTTTATAAGCAGCCCATATCTTATCAATTACAACATACTGAAATAGGACACAAATAACTGTTTTTACATATATATATAAAATATTCTTATCTATCTTAGACCAACTTCCACAAATATTTCAAGCCCGATGAGGAATACATGTATATTATAGCAGTTCTATAATCACTTTTTTTATAAATGCATTATTAAATCATCATTTCCTAAAACATGGTTATTTTTGAAGAAAAAAAACTTTGTTAGTCTTTATTACTTATTTGCAGATGTTATTTTTTCAAATATGCAATTTTTCATTTAACTGTAGCATGAGAGAGTAGTATAAATCTCAAGTCAAAATGAATATAAAATTTTTAACAAAATCTTATACACAGAAATAAAATTTCAATATTCAAATTTATTTAATAATTTTTGTTAAAATTTACTTCACCAAAAATCTCTGACTCAAATTAATGAGAATAACAACAGATATAGGCACAGCAGTTCAAATCACCATTCTGCAATCTTCAATTGCATTCATTCTCATAGCACCAGGAGACATTCAGAAATCATCTGAAGCATTGATCATATAGCAAACAGCTGAATGTCAGATTTTATTTTAATTTACCTACCTCTAAATCGTCGTCACTGTAATCAACATCATGCTCATGGTCTTCCTAAAAAAAGAAAAAAATCCTGATTATTAAGCTGTGAGCAAAAACAAGCTGATGCTAGGGTGATTTTTTCTAAATATCAGGTATGGCAGTTAGTATTCGGTTACTCCATGAATGATAGTAATAGGTTGCAAAATCTGTAATCAGTTAGTTGAAAAAAAATGTAAAATATGTGTCTACCTGAACAAGTAAAAATTTACCAACATAATCAATAAAGCCCTGCGCAGTACCAGGACCCCTGACCCTGTGGTCAAGAATTTCAAAAAATCAGGTAAAAAAAAAACAATCCTCATTACAACTTTAAACTCTGCATGTGTTGCTCCCTTTAATTTCAATATATCCAGAGTACAATGTACTAGTATCTAAATGAAATTTTTGAAATTGTAACTGTTGCAGCATTAACTCACAGCTATTAGATCCCAGTCTATGTTAACATTCTCAAATAGATCTTTTCTTCCACTTAATGCTGCAGTCAACTAGAAAAGAAAATCGTTTGTGTGGTTATTTACAAATTCTATTACAACAGTTTGATTTTCAATGTTTCAATGTAGGTCTTTTCCTTTCTAATGCAGGTCGGCATGCACAGAGAATATACATGTAGCTACTACATGTATATTATCAAATGATGTGATTTATAAGTGAAATTCAACTCTGACCTTAAGAATACCTACCAGTTCAGCACATAGCTGGTGATTTTTTTCCTTGGCAATGTCTAGCGAGGTTTTCCCTTCAGCATTCTCAATCTTGGCTAGTTCTGGTCGAGTTCTCAGCAAAAGTTTCATACACTCTGTTTTATCCTCTATTGCACAAAGATGTAATGGAGTATTGCCATCTCTGGTTTTGTTTCCTAGATTTGTTCTATGAAAGATATATGTAGTTACTGTATACAGGGTTATTTTTGCCTTGCAAATAATTTTGCCCCATTTTAAATACTCCTAGTCACAGTTTTGTTTAAGAAATTATGCTGTCTTCTTTGAATTCGCCCCATTTTAAATTCGCCCACCTGTGATTAGGTTGAAAGGGGGAAAAATAAAGCAGGGGCAAAAATTTCCCTGTATACAAAAGTTCAAGGGCTTGAAAATGCAATGTTCAACAAGAAGCTTAACAAGTATCTATTATTGTATACAAGAAAAATTTTGTCCCCGTTTTGCTCCTTTTCCCTCGACATCAGTGGATGAATTCAAAATGGGGAGAATTCAATAGGGAAAGACTTGCTTCTTTAAACCACAACTTAAAATGGGGAAAAACTGTTTCTAAGTGTAACAGGGTGAAAATAATAGGGGTAGATAACCCATACATTGTATCAATGTTTGTTTGCAGGCAGTAATCTGAACAACACTGTCTAAATGCATGCAAGAAATATAAGCGAAAAATTGCAAATGTTTGTTTATGTTGTAACCACATACAATTAATATCTTTTGTTAATTACACAGTAATACATATCTGTCTTTCCTAGACATGTAGTAAACAATCAAAATTCTTTAATTCTCCAACTGAACATTATTCACTGACAGTTATAAATACTGTACGTGTGATTCCTTACATGAGGCTGTTTTGGATGATGAAGTCCACGATGTACAGAGAGTATCCGTCCTCCAGTAAGATAGCTAGATGTAGACCAGTTTCACCATTCTCCTGTCAACAGAAAAATGATAATATTAAATCAATACATTTGTTATCAGAGAAACTGCACTCAGGAGGAATAATTCATTTGCAGTTCATTCTAAAACAGATCTGATTTACTCATCAAAAACAATAATAGTTAATTGACAACATGTGTCATTTACATGTAACATTATAGAGACATAAGACTTTACAAAACTTTCTAAAAACAAGGGCACCACAAAGCTGAGCATCCTGTCGCAAAAGAAGACATTTGTAAGAGGCCTGCTTCATACCACACACTCACCACTCGCATCAAAACAAAAACTGTTGTTTGTAAAAGGCAGTATCATACAAAATTTCTTATCAATTGCCGTTGAATCCTGATTCTATTTACACTGGAACATAATACTATTCACTATCAGTACATCTGTACAATTAATTATCATTATAACAATCAAAACATGTTTTATTGGTGATTAAGAATGCTATTCAATCAAAAAAAATAAACAAAAAAATAAAAGAGAACAAGATGTGTTTGTGAAACTGATGCCCCCGTATGGCAGCTTATGGCGAAGGTTAGAGTTTCTCAAATGCAAGTCAAAATCCAGGCCAAAAGATAAAAAATGTTGGTATCCAAAGAAAGGTCTTGTCTTGAGGAATATACCTGTGAAATTTGAAAGACCTAGCTGCAACTGTTCAAAAGTTATGGCGAAGGTTAAAGTTTTTTAAAAGTAAGTAAAACGTCAAGGTCAAAGTGGTTGGTATCCAAAGGAAGGTCTTGTCACAAGGATTACATATGTGAAGTATGAAAGCCCTAGCACCAACCATTCAAAAGTTATGACCAAGGTTAAAGTTTTACGAAAGTAGGTCAAACTCCTATATCAAGGTCAAAGGGTCAAAGTGGTTGGTATCCAAAGGAAGGTCTTGTCACAAGGATTACATATGTGAAGTATGAAAGCCCTAGCACCAACCATTCAAAAGTTATGGCCAAGGTTAAAGTTTTTCGAAAGTAGGTCAAACTCCTATGTCAAGGTCAAAGGGTCAAAGTGGTTGGTATCCAGAGGAAGGTCTTGTCACAAGGAATACACATGTGAAGTTTGAAAACCCAAGCACCAACTTTTCAAAAGTTATGGCGAAGGTTAAAGTTTTTCAAAAGTAGGTCAAACTCCAAGGTCAAGGTCAAAAGGTCAAAGTTGTTGGTATCTGAAAAAAGGTCTTGTCACAAGGATTATATATGTGAAGTATGAAAGCCCTAGCTCCAACCATTCAAAAGATATGACCAAGGTTAAAGTTTTTCAAAAGTAGGTCAAACTCCTAGGTCAAGGTAAAAGGGTCAAAGAGGTTGATATCCAGAGGAAGGTCTTGTCACAAGGAATACACATCTGAAGTTTGAAACCCCAAGCACCAACTGTTCAGAAGTTATGGCCAAGGTTAAAGACTCATAAAATTTTGCAGAAGTGGGTCAAACTCCAAGGTCAAGGTAAAAAGGTCAAATATGATGGTACCCAAGGAAAGGTCTTGTCACAAGGAATACACGTGAAATATGAAAGTCATAGTTCCAACCAATCAAAAGTTATGGGCAAGGTTAAAGTTGACAACAGACAGACAAACAAAGGGACAAACAGACAGACAGGACAAAAACAATATACCCCGGGATCTTTCGATCCGGGGGCATTAAAACCACATTCAATAGTCTTTTTTTCGCACAAGTTGATCAATATGGTTTGTCCACTTAAAAACTAAAACTAAAAACTGGGTGGCCGGACCATGCCAAAATGGGTCTTATTTATTTACTGAAAATAAATGCCTATGCCTGGTTGTTATTGTGAAAATGTAAATGTCTGGTTCATCTAAATCCTTTATATTTAGCAAAACAAATCACATTATCTTTTAAACTTTTAAAATTCATGAAATATTTACTGCTCATACTTCAATTAATGTATAGAACAGTTGAGTTCATGTTCAAGTCAAGTAAAGAATAATTCCGAACCTAAATGCATACAACTCAACCTTCACATTAAAAAAAGAGAACAATAACATTAAAATACTAAATCTTACATTTAGGGTAGAGTGGGGTAATTTCGACCACTTTTGCTGATTTGTGGCTTTCAATCCACAAAACACGACTGCTTTCAAATGTACTAGTTTAAAAAAGATTTGAAATAAATGAGATTGATTTTTTCTTCATATTTTTCTGCTTTGGGAGTTAAAAATGCATAAAAAATAATGAATTGGTTTTAAAATGGATAAGCATGTTGCATGGGTTAATTTCGACCAGACTCGGGGTAATTTCGACCACAACAAACATCAAAAAGAAAGATAACTCTAAAACTCTACCTGTCGCATTTTATTCAAATATTAAGGTCCGAGAAACTATATTGCCTTATATCGTCTTTTCACAACAGAATCATTCAGATTGTATATATATATGTATAAGGTTTGAGCATAACATTAAAATTACGTATATTTTTCTTCACTAATTCACTAATTTTTACCATATACACATTCATTTGGAATGCGTTGTATTACGTATTTTACCTGTTTTGTTCATTCTTAAAAGAGATGGATCCTAAGAAATTCGATCAAGTCAATTAAATAAAGATTTACAGAAGCAAAGTCCTCTGAAATCCCCCCCCCCCCAAAAAAAAAAAACAAAAAAAAAACCAAACTCAAACAAAAAAATTATTTCGTATAACATCATAGTGTTTTGTTTTTTTCATTTTCTTTTTTTTTTTTTTTTTTAATTTTTTATTGTTTCAAGATTGTTGTGGCTCTTTTGGTAAATTGTTCTGATATTTTGGGTACTCTTTGGATTGGTGAACCTGGACTGTGTGATACAATCTTAATACGACCGGTTCGTTGGTTTTCAATAGCCTCAGTCTTATCTGTCCAAGTTTACTCATTTGTAATAATGAAAAAAAAAATTACAAAAACCTGATTTTTTTAACTTATATTCAATATTGCCTGCATCCTCTTTTTTGTTAATTTGACGGGTTTGGAAACTTTTGGATTGCTCTCGTCATGTGTTAATTCAAAGCCAGTGCCGCCTCCGTGTTCTCTCGCACCCTCGTGAACGGCCCGGACAATATATATAGCAGGCATGCATGTTAATTAATCTGACATATTTTTTTTAAATATAAAAGGTTATATGAAGATAATATTGTACATATACAGTATAATTATTTTTTAAAGATCTTACTCTGCATTGCATTAAACAGCTGTTAAAGACAACTTACACATATTTTAGAATAAGTGGTCGAATTTAACCCGCGTCCTTAAAATCAGTAGGGGTAATTTCGACCAAAATCAAATAGACATTTCTTGTGCATTTTGAGAGAAAATCAAGATAAATTTGTAAAATTCTGCAACTTAAAGATATTCCAAGAAAAAATAAAACAATTTTAATTTAATTCGTGCTGTAGACTGTTGAACAAGGTTAAACTTAAAAAAAGGTTGTACTAGTTGTCTCTCTTGCATTGCCTTGATCAAATCAAGCGCACTGAAGACGGAGACATCGAACATCCAACTGGAGACATAAATAATAGTAAAAATATTATTTATATCTCTGATCAAGCCATATTTGCGATGAATAATTATACTAGAACACACAATTTGAGGAATAGTATTCCATAATTCGGAATAAATTAAACCTGTCTCAACACTTCCGTAGATCTTTGTGTGGTGTTGTGTTCCTGTGGTCGAAATTAAACGGTGGTCAAAATTACCCTGACTTACCCTAATTTGTTTTTATTAAAATGAGTATATTTCTATGATTGCAATATAAAAATTACAAAAAACAAGTTAGAATAACAAATATTCAATTCAGCAAGGCAACAAATGCCTTGATCCCAATGTAAATTATCACTTCCATTACGCACTCACTCACCCACCCACTAACCCCTACACTCACATGTGCATCACTGTATCTCCTCCAATTTTGCTGAGTGGGAGAATTAACAGATTCTTACCATATCTGGCATGATGCTCATGAGATCAGTTCCTTCTGCATGTAACTGTAACAAGGTCTGGAAATCTCGGCTGTGAATGGCCTGTTTCAGGTCAGATCGAATTTCCTCCTCCATTCCATTAGTGTTGATGACAAATTTCTTTTTATCATACTTGTCAAAAATATAGGACTCTCTTTCTTTCCTATTAAAAAAAATTTAAAAATCAAAACTTTCTCTTTTGAAAAAGATTGCTTTTGAAATTAAACTTCAACTGGAGAAAAATATATGTTTTTTTTTCACATGCACCAGAGATCCATATAAATTTACATTAATTTTGCTTGTTGTCTTTTTTAAAAATGAAAGAATTCAGAGTTTTTATTTTATAAAGCAAATCATGAATGGTTGCCTCTTACATAGGACTTGTACATTTCAGTTTTCTGTATCCATCCACTTTTCCTTCATCTAATTCATTATATATTTTGCCTTCAAAAACTTCATTAAAACAGTCATTTCCTACCACTCGGGCTAACTGAAAATACACAAGAAACTTATCATTCAATAGTGCACTCTGCTACTACATATTTTTTTCTTTTATTTAATTAAGTCTAAATGTTATTGTTACATATATCTTTAATTTTCAGAGTACTAACTCATCTTTCAAGTATGTTTTTTTTTTTGTCTGCAAAATTTCTGGATATTGTTTTAATTCAATAATTTTTGATGAATTATATTTTCAAAGTAAACATAAAAAAATCCCTGTCTTACTAGAAGTTGTGATGTTCCTAATTCATCTATGACTATACTCTGGGTTCTAGAAATGTGAACACCTAGCTGCCTGTGGATGCCACAGCACTCCAAACAGATTAAGATACCATAGTTTGTGGATAACCACTCAGGATCTACAATAAAGAAAACATTGGAGAGGATTTATATTAATGCAGTACCTGCTGTCCAATCATTTTATCTTTAATTCATAAAAGTATTGTTTAAATTAAGAAACATTTTAGTCACATACGATATTTCACTGGTGCATTTCCCATAACAAAATATACTTTTTATCATTTCTTTTTTTTCCAAAACTATACATCAGAGAGAAAAAAAACTTTGGAAATCTATCATGAACCATCTTCAAGTTTCAAAATTAAATGAAAATTATACTGACTCATATGAAGTTTAAAAATTTACCAAATATGATGTCATCTCGTAATTTACCTTTTGCACCACAGTCACAACAGACTTGGTTGCCTGGCAACCGTTTGATTCGGTCAATAATACTGGCGGTAAGTTCTCGAACATTCTGATTTATAGCAGGGGAGTTTGTGTTGTCTTGGAAGGCTTTCAAAAGGACTTCTTCTTTTGCATTGTTCAAAACTGAAATCCACCTAAAATTCAAAACTCTTAATTACTGCATGCATTTGAATGATTTGATTACCGGTAAGTGCATAAAACATTAAAATTCTTCTGGCAAATACTTATCAAGAATAAACTACCTCTAACATATCCAAACCAAAACATAGGTAATCAGAGATTACAGAGCTCACCTCAACAAATGTTGTCTTTAAGTAAGGCAAAGTCCCACACTAAACTAATAATCTAGGAGTGTGCATCCCTAGATGCAACATTTATGCAATTTTGGTCTGATAGGGCTTGCAGTTACTTGGTAACAGATTTATCTGAAAACTTAAAACTAGTCACTTATCCAGAAAATGTAAGTCAAATCCAGCATCCGAAGCAAGTTTTGAGATTGTTCGTCCCTTGATGCATCATTCATGCAAGTTTGGTTCAGAAAGGCCTTATAGTTACTTGGAAATGAGATCTGCTCCAAAAACTTTAATCTGGTTACTCATCCGGAAAATGTAGGTCAGATCCAGCATCAGAAGCAAGTCCAGTAGTGTACATCCTTAGATGTATCATCCATGCAAGTTCGGTCAATATAGGGTTTTTAGTAACTTGGAAATGGCATCTGCTCCAAAAACCTTAACCTGGTCACTCATCTGGAAAATATAGGTCAGATCCAGCATCAGAAGCAAGTCCAGTAGTGTACATCTTTAGATGTATCATCCACGCAAGTTTGGTCAATATAGGGTTTATAGATACTTGGAAATGACATCTGCTCCAAAAACCTTAACCTGGTCACTCATCCGGAAAATATAGGTCAGATCCAGCATCCGAAGCAAGTCCAGTAGTGTGCATCCTTAAATGTATCATCCATGCAAGTTTGGTCAATATAGGGCTTTTAGTTACTTGGAAATAACATCTGCTCCAAAAACCTTAACTTGGTCACTCATCTGGAAAATATAGGTCAGATCCAGCATCCAAAGCAAGTCCAGTAGTGTGCATCCTTAGATGTATCATCCATGCAAGTTTGGTCAATATAGGGCTTATAGTTATTTGGAAATGAGATCTGCTCCAAAAACTTTAACCTGGTTACTCATCCAGAAAATATAGGTCAGATCCAGCATCCGAAGCAAGTCCAGTAGTGTACACCCTTAGATGTATCATCCATGCAAGTTCGGTCAATATAGGGTTTATAGATACTTGGAAATGACATCTGCTCAAAAACCTTAACCTGGTCACTCATCCAGAAAATGTAGGTCAGATCCAGCATCCGAAACAAGTCCAGTAGTGTGCAACCTTAGATGTATCATCCATGCAAGTTTGGTCAATATAGGGCTTATAGTTACTTGGAAATGAGACCTGCTCCAACAACTTTAACCTGCTCCAAAAACATTAACCTGGTCATTCTTTAGCTGAAATTGCAGCATCTGAAACCTTGACTGGTACACTGAAACATACTAGAAGCATCCTCCATGCATCTCTGACTAATATAGGCCATAGAAGTACTTGAAAAGAAAACTGCTCCAAAAACCTTAACCTGGGACGCCGACGCCGAGGGTATTACATAAGCTCCCCCAACTTCGTTGAGTTGAGCTAAAAATTCACCAACTTTTTATCTATGTCTAAGGTGAAAAATTTTCAATGCAGGTGAAAAATAGCCTGAAATCAGGTATGAATGATCAACATTTTGATGGTGGTGAACTTCCCCATTGTATTTGCAGTGCTGGTAGTACTGTCATTCAAGCCACATTGTAGCTGCAGTCTTGAGTATTATAAACTGTACAAAATTGGGTTCTCCATCTTTTCAAATGTTGAAGATAAAATAACTAAATCTGAAGGTGAAGTAACCTAACACAATTTTTACATAGCATAGATAATTTGATACTGTGTGAAGGTACTAAAGTCTGACAGCTAGAGGCTACATCATTGATCACCTAAAAATAACTTACTCTTCCATATCCTGGATATCCTCCCCCTGGAAATGGTATGTTCTATTATCTGTAACATAAAGGGAATGTTATTTTACAGGGGAATTGTAATACATGTATAACAATACTGTTATATTTCAGGGAAAATGTAACACAGAGACCATGTCATTATAATGAGAAAATGTAACATAACTAGAATATGTTATGGGGGGGGGGGGGGGGAGATTGTAAGATAAACAGAATGTGTCATTTTACTGGGAATATTGCTTTCTCTTAATTTCTCTTGTTTGTTTTTCATACACAAAAACAAAAGATTTTAAAACTGAAATTCCTTTTTCTCTAAAGAGTCAAAGCCTTTTACATTTAAACTAGGAATTAAAGGTCACTTGTGAGAAAAAAAATAAGTTAAAAAAAAAATAAGTCCAACTCAAATAAATTCAGATACTCACTGGAGCTAGAGACTAGATCAAAGCACTTCTTGCCAACATCATCAGCAACAAGCTGGAGGTAAAAAAAAATACAGGGTATCAAAAAAAAAAAAAAAAAAAAAATAAGCAACCCTTTATTAAATACACCATCTTGTGAAACAGAGCAGGAGACACTCTGAAACAAGTTATCATTTAACCTTACCATTAAAACTTAATGTAATTCAAGAAAATAATCACAGATCAAATTTTTAAAAAACATGTACCTTTACTTGGCATGTAAGGAGATTCAATTTTACTGGTTCCTTTGTTTCCTAAAAGAAAAATAAACAGATATACCACAGCAAGGTTTATATTTTCCCAGAAAAAATTCAATTAAATGACAAAAAAATTCTGGAGTGATCTCCCTTACATCAGAGTGACTGACTAGCATGATGCCATCTTGGATGGTACACTTTCTTCTCTGCCACACTTTACGGACTTTTCCTTCGCTCTTCTTTAGAAGGTAGCCCGATTTCTGGCTTCCATGGTCTTTGTTTCCGTGGAGCTGATGTAGACTATACCCAGCTGGGCTTTTACTAGCAGCAGCTGGCTGTAGGAAACAAATGTTCAATAATTAACACTTGTATATTGCATTAAAGTGATAATGACGACAAGAAAAAGATTTTACAATGAAAGCCTTGTATTAATCCCTAAAAAAGATGATAAATTCCAACTACAAGTATTATTAAGAGCTAATATATTTCTATGACTAGATTTGTACAGTTATAAGCTTAATTTTTGTAATTTTCACAAAATACACTTGATCCTTCTATCCAAAACTGTTTCATTTATAATTAATCAATGAAATTATGAACATTTTTAAACTAAAAAACAAAAGTACCCCAAAAATTTTGCAAATCAAAAAAAAAAAAAAATGAAAGCAGCTATAATGCAAACCTTTCACATATATAAATGTCTTCACTACCTATAAATAGAGTAGTATACTTTCTATATGATGCAGTAAGATAAAGTTTCCTTATCATTATTTTCTTAAGTCATATAGCAGTTGAATTTTACATCAAATTTTGAAAGGTTTACAGTTAAACTGTTGTTAAAATCAATTAAGCCCTAGAAAAATGGAAGCATCCATACTATAATATTTATTTATGGAACTGCCATGTCCTTAAATCAAGAGTCCTTATATCTGCACCACTGAAAGAAGCCAATAAAGATCTTATACAGGAAATTATTCCATACAAAAACCTTCCACACATAAGGAAAAAAATGTAAGACAATCATTCATTATAACCCAAAAGAAGCATGCCACAACATGAATCTGGTACCTTGACCCTCCCTAGTATTGAGAGCCTGTTGTTTGCATGCTGAATAGAAAGAGAGAAATTTCATTGTACTCTTATTAAAGGTCTTGCAGATTTCATTTTGCTCAATAACTGAAAATTTTATTTTTCTTGTAGACATCTGTTAATGTACAGATTTACTTAACATCAATAAATCATAAATCCATGAAAAGCCAAACTTTATGCACTTTATGCATCCAGTATCTCATCCAGTATATATTTCTCTTTTGTACCATTGTTTTACTTAATGAATATGACACTGATACAAGGAATGAACTATTAGCATGATTCTTATGAACATCATTAACTGCATGCAGAAATTATCAATTGAACTAGAAATACATATCAAATTTTTACAGACAAGCTGTCAATATACATGTACAAATGTACATGTATTTCTAAATGCACAATCTTTAATTTCATGCTGTTTGACTAATCTAAAACAGGGCCGTAGCATCATTTTTGAGAAAGGGGGGGGGGGGGCAGAAAGAGAAAAAAAATTTCAACCTACCTAAAAATAAACTTGACCAAAAAAATAAAAGGGGGGGGGGGGGGGGGGGGATTGTCCAAACTCGAAAATCCTATTTCTTGGTGGTGGTGGTGGTAGATGCTGGTTCCACCTTCTTTCAGTACCAAATTTTATTCATACGCTACTACAATACCCTTATTTAACATACTGCAACAAAAAGGGGGGACCGGCCTTTTAAATAACACTTTCAATAGTAAAAAGTCATGTTTGGAAAAAAGGGAGGCAACCCTCAACCCCCCTCCCCTCCTGGCCCCCAGGATGCTACATGCCTGTACGATAGGTTTTTTAGCTAAGATGTAATTTGTGCAAGAAAAAAATACCCAATCCCCCCCCCCCCCCAAAAAAAATTTTCCTTTTAAAGAAAAATACTTAAAACATATAACATTGACATTTTTTCACTACATGTAACTAGTCATTAATAAAAGGTTGTGTAACTGGTAAAAATAAGCCTCATTCATTTGTTAGTTTTGTTAATTACAGATGAGTTTCCTGGTTACCTTTCCAATTTCTTCTGTGTAAATAGTATTTCTAGATCCCTAATATAGATGAAGAATTTATAATCCATTTCAATATACTTCTAATGCCCTGTTCACACGGAGAGTTTAATTCACAGTAAATTAATGTGAAGTAAAATAATTCGAATTAAAATAATGTGAATTAAATTGCGTTCACACAACAGCTAATGCGAAGTAAACTAATGCGAATTAAAATTTTATTTCAACAGTAAGGCTATTCAGTAAGGGTAATATGACGTCATTTTTAAATCACGTCACCTTATGCAGAGCACAGATCCATTTGACATAGACATATATATAGTGTCTGCACACATTTCAGTGATTAACGTTATTTTCCTTTGTTTTCACAAAAAAATAGCATGAGTACCTATGTCTGATCACTGACATGTGGCATGTGTCTTAATTTTGACATTACGCATGCGTCAATATTTAATTTGAATTAGCTTCGCTTGGCGTTCACACAGAGCTAATGCAAAGAAATTTAATGCGCAGTAAATTAATTAGAATTAAACTAATTCGCATTAAAATCCCAGTGTGAACGCAGTTCAAATTTAATTCACAGTAACTTACGTTTAATTCGAATCAAACTCTCCATGTGAACAAGGCATAAAATTATTACAAATGTATACTAATGTATATCATAGGTTTCATCTTCATTATTTTAAAGGCAATCTCCCTTTAATGTAATCCTGCATGACTGGAATATAGCTCAGGGCACAATGTACAACATTTCAAACAATTACGTATTTTTAGGACCCTAAATGTCTTATAAACAGAATTAAATTTGTTTTCTGAACCTTATGTATCCGCCCCTATGCTGCAATTTTTCATAATCATTTTACCACATACTAACTATAATTAGAAAGACTTTCATGACCACGGTAAACTTGGCTTAATCACATTTTTATCAGAAATTCAACTTTCATCATCTTTCACGGATAAGGCCCAAGTATAAATATGTTTCTTGATGTTTAAGCGACATCTTAGATGAAGCTTAGGTTGTAATGCTTTATGTTCCTTCGACTCTTGAGTGTAATGATGATCAATTCAAATTAAGCAAACATAATGGAGCCGAGTTACAATACTATAAAGATATTTAGAGGGCTGGGTGACCCTGTGAACTGACCTCTTTATAAGACGACATTGAGTTTTTAAGAGCATTCCTGAGTTCCACTAGCTGTTGTCGATCTGTGTATTGTTTCTGTTTGATGCTGTGAAGTTGTGCTATCAACTTCTCTATATAGGACTCAAATTTTCCAATGGTTTCCAGGCTTTCTTGGTGAAAACTGTTCATATTAAAAAATCATACATAATTTTTCCTGCTATTAAATTTCTATTAAGGGGTGTTTTTATAGATTAAAATGACCACAACTGTCTTTAACATTGTAAAATATAATATCAACTATGAATCTAATATTTGAATGAACTAAAAGATCTAAAACAATATTTTTATTATTGAATATGACAGATTCTTTAGACGTAAGAACTATTAATTACTTACACTTTCAAAGCTTTATAGTAGTCCACTAAATGCAGCAGTAATTCCACCCCTTTCTTTGTCTTTATATCATTTACTTTAATGAGGTACTAAAAAAAATTATTTAATCCGCAGTTAGTTGCCCAAAATTTCAAATTAAAAATTCTAAAATGTGTCTCTCTAGAATCCTTTGATGTAAATAAATTGGCAACTTAAAATTTCACTAAGTTTACCTCACAAAGTTGTAACTGAAAAACCTTTCTTTCCTTCAGCATGTCTTCAGCTATCTGTAAAAGTACATATCTTAATTACAGAGGGAAGCCCTGCTTTATTTAAAACTCTTGAAATTTCTTTGTAGTTTCATGATAGTATCTTGAAGAAGTTAGGAAAGGTTATGTGTAATCTATTACATGTGAGATGCAGGTGTTGTGCTAAGGGAAACTTGAGAAATGTTAGCTATGACTTTGCAATAAAACGCTTCATTTGCTTTAATGCAGAACCAGGTCTGGTCTTAAGTAGTTGGAAATGAAGGAAATTGGTTTCTTTTTCCCTTGGTAATGGCCTTCATTATGTAAAATCAATACCTAGTTCATCAGCACAATGCAAGTCAGCATTACTACGTAACATCATTCTAAATGTCAACACATAAAATATGTGCTAATAGGTCAAAAAAACCTCTTTTGGTTCCTGGTTTTCTAATTAAATGAGACATAATGTTATTCTGGACAAAATTTTCATATGATCTTCTAGGAAGAGCTGACACAGTGCTCCATCCCTGGTAAACCTAGATTTTACATCAGTCAGGCCATGTTGTATTCCAAGGTTAACAACAAGGCCAGTATGACTGACACATAAATACATACTTCTGAGCCATCCACCTCAGTCCTGGTCATTCCAGCATCCTTGGCTTGTTGTTTCTTTTCTTTTTCTATCTTAGCACTGTCAGAAATAATCAAAGGGACACATGTACTAAAACTCGATAATCCTCCTTCATTACAAGATGAATGGAGGGTCAAACAAATTCATGTCTTCTCAAAAATTCTCTTGTTTCTCCATTTTATTCTTTTATTTCTTTCAAACTTGTAATGGTTGATTAATAAACCTGCCCTTTTATGGTACACATCTTAAAATGTAAAAGTCATGGGAGTACACTTACAATTTGGTTTCATATTCCTTAGCAGCTTTATCAAAAGGTTTCTTCATGTCCCCCTTTACTCCCTTGAGATCCCCTTTGAGGAAAGCTTCCAGTGGGTACAGTAGCATACCATTTAACTTAGTTACCTGTACAACATATAAAAATGTTATACAACTTAGAATTACCTACAACATATAAAAATGTTATACATTGTATATCTTACAATAACCTCCTACAACATATAAAAATGTTATATAACTTACAATTACCTGTAACATATAAAAATGTTAATATCAACTGATATTGTATATGCTGTGTTCTTTAATGTAAACTTTTATTAAGTGCTTTTTAAATATTAGTTTTTGTATTATTGCCAAAGGATAAGTGTTTTGTTACTGTATTAATTAATGATTATTTTGTCATGTTTGTTGATGTTTTGCATGTGTAAGATGAATAAAAAAATTTCAACATGAATGAAAACTACCCTCTGAACTTCAGTATTTTATCTCAAAAGGAGCATAATAATTATCAATAATCAGTTATTAGCCACATCAACCATACATCATGATACACATTTAGTAGGAAAACTTCATCATCACATGAATTCAGGGAAAAAAAGCACCCAACCAGGGAAGATGGTGATTCAGCAAGTGTTAATTATTTTGGCATGCGATATTAGATAGCAAACATTACATAGAAAATTGTAAGATTTAAAAACAAATATGTTTTTTTTTCTTCAAAACAATACATCATAAGTGTTAATCATATGTATCTTTTCTGCTCAAATCAGAAAATTTCACATCTGTCATGATTATGACTGTATTTCACAGATCATTCTTTCCGATTGGTTGAAACAGTTTTACATATTAAACAAAGAATGGCAGTTATTAAGCAAAGATTCAATTAAGTTATACATTTCATTTCAGTTTTATTTTTGTGGAATGACAAAGTGTCTAAAATAATCAAGGTTTAAATCATCATTTTTCCAGATTTATTAAAAATGCCATTTATTCTTAACAAATGTTATATGTACTTTATTTTCTTTTATTTCATGCACTTTGGGTTAAACCATAATATTCATACCAAAATGAAAACTTAAAATTCAAAGTAAATGTAGTAAAATTATCACCATAATTGTAAGATTTACAAAGGTATTTTTTTCAGTGTCTGTAAAGATCTGTGATGTAATTTAGAAGATGTCAGATTTGTAAAGGTGTTTTCAGAGAGGCCCTAACTGGGGTTATATAAAGAGATCTCCAGAATGAGGCAGTTGGAGAACAAAAACACCAGAAGTGGGGATTAGTAATTGTAACCTATACATACTGACACAAAGTTGCCATTACCAAATAAGTAAAGAAACAGATCATAGTTATGTTCATTTAAAGGGTATCTCGAGATTTAAATGCTACATTGCAACAAAAATCCTGGGTAAGTTCAAAGGTCTATGAATTTCAGAACCTACCATGTCATTTAAGGAGGTTGACAGTTCTCTAGCTATCATTGAAAACTGCTTAAACCCTTCAACTGAAAAAGAAAGATAAATAGATAACTGAATCATGGAATTCAAATGGTACATGTATTTCTAACTTTCCAGTAATTAATTTTATTGAAGAAGAGAAGTAAATTTTTAGATAAACCCCTGTATTTCTTTCTGATAGCAAAAACCACTGTCAATGTAAGACCAGACCATGCAGACATGGTCTACAAACTTTAACAATAATCTCAATATGGATTTTTTTTTTTATAGAAATGAATTTATAAATTTAGAAGTTGGGCATTATCAAACTCAAATGACACATCTATATGGCAATACTGAATTGATTGCTCTGAGAGGTTCAACAAATAAGCACCATCCATCCAGGTCAGTTTGTAGCAAAACAAAAACAATTACCTCAGATTTTTCCTTTTTTTTCAAAAATGATTAAGAAAATGAGAAATATTTACAAACGAGTATATTCTTCATATTGATAGTTACTGTGTGGAAATTATGGTAACAAAATTTTGCAAACCAAATAGGGGACATGTAGCATATATCTAATAAGCAAGTATTTTATAAGTATGTAATGTGCACTGTATACAGTTGAACTTCGGTATCTCGAACGCGGATATCTTGAATAACATGGACATGTTGAAATCATTTTGAAGTCCCAACTGCTTATTCCTTAAGTATTTCACCCTGGATATCCCGAATCCTCAGATATCTCGAAGTATTTCTCGGTCCCTTCGAGTTCAAGATAACAAGATTTGACTATATAAAACAGCAACTCAGATAAATGAGAATGATAAAAAAAAATTCACCAAGAAAGAACCATTTGTATTTGAAAATAGAAACAAAATTCCAAATTTAAGGTATACCTCCACAAATCTGTTTCTGACAGGATTAGAATACACAGGTATGCTTGAGAATGGAAAGCTATAAGCCACTTAAATGTATACAACATGATTTGGTCATTTCAGAGCAATAAACAGTCAAACTTTCTTATCTCGAACTCGATGGGACCGAGAAAAAAGTTTGAGATATCGGAGGATTCGAAATATCAGGGGTAAATTACTTGAAGAATAAGTGGTTGGGACTTCCAAATCACTTTGACATATCCATGGTATTCGAGATATCAGTGTTCGAGATACGGAAGTTCACCTGTTCAATTTATGGAAGTTTACCTGTTCAATTTAATTCTTACCACGTTACATCTACCCTGTCTTTCTGTCGACAGTATTAACCTACCTCATCGTAGCTTGTTCTACCTTCCTTATCCAAATTTTCTCATACCTTCCAACTCAGTTAACACATGTATACCTACCTACTTCATTCTCCTACCTTCCCACTCAGTTAACACTTGTATACTTACCTACTTCATTCTCCTACCTTCCCACTCAGTTACCACTTGTTTACCTACCTACTTCATTCTCCTACCTTTCCACTCAGTTACCACTTGTATACCTACCCACTTCATTCTCCTACCTTCCTACTCAGTTAACACTTGTATACCTACCTACTTCATTCTTCTACCTTCCCACTCAGTTACCACTTGTATACCTACCTACTTCATTCTCGTACCTTCCAAATCAGTTAACACATGTATACCTATCTACTTCATTCTTCTACCTTCCCACTCAGTTAACACATGTATACCTACTGTATATACTCGGCTATAAGTCGGTTGTATTTTTTGAGGTTATTTTGGAGGGATTTACCATTGACCCGCTTATAAGTCAGTACAACTTTTTGCCAGAATCAGTTGACAATTTCAAATCAATGGTGTAATGTTTTAACTTGGTTTTGATCAATATTTTCAGAAATGACGCCGATACTTAATTTTAAATCATAAGAAAAATATATAATACACACTTAAAGATAAAAATAAAATTATTAAAATATGTAAATACTTGTGTTTATGTGTAATCTTAGAATACATAAATGATATAATATATCCAGACAATGTTTAGCGAAAATCATTGGAAATGTTTATAAAATACTACATTTCGCTCTCCAGAAAAATACTAATCTTTTTATGACTCGCCTATAAGTTGGACATAGAGTTTTGGACCAAATTTTAACTCCCAAAAAACCGACTTATAGGCGAGTATATACGGTATCTACTTCACTCAGTTAACACTTGTTTACCTACCTACTTCATTCTCCTACCTTCCCACTCAGTTACCACTTGTTTACCTACCTACTTCATTCTCCTACCTTCCCACTCAGTTACCACTTGTTTACCTACCTACTTCATTCTCCTACCTTCCCACTCAGTTAACACTTGTTTACCTACCTACTTCATTCTCCTACCTTCCCACTCAGTTAACACTTGTTTACCTACCTACTTCATTCTCCTGTTCCACATTACTGTTACTGACATTGTCTAGATTTTCTGCCATTGTCACATCACTTTCAACATGCCCTACATTATAAAAGATGTCAAATGTCATTCTGGTCATAAATGAAAGCAGAAATCTCTCTTTCCTCTCTCTCTCTGTTCACATTAAATTATCTCTATCTCTTTCTTTCTTAACCCTCATTAATTAGAGATGTTTTGATTTTCATTAAAACAAGCTTCAAAAATTGTAGGTGATAAACACCTTCATGAACAGTGTTCAGAGTATTTATTTAGTGCATACCCTTTCAAGAATTGCCTTTTCAGGGATTAATCTAGGTTTTGGGGGAAACTACGCTTTCTGGAGAAATTGGGAAAATCAGCCAGGGGTCTGGGGGCCACTCCAGACCCCTTGTGGGTGCAGGGCAAGCCCTGCTGGGGGACCCAATTAAATTTCAGCATTTTACTGACCATTTAGAGTGCATATAAATAGTAAAGTAAAACCATATTTCACATCTGATGAAAATTTTTACTTTCAATTTCCGGTTTTTATGAAGGAAAAAAAAAATTATTTGAGCCTTGATTTTATTATTGTGAGGGGAATTTTTTACTCATCAAAAGAGGAAAATGGGATATTCAGGGGAAATTTTCTCTTGGGGAAAAATACAGAATATTGGTAGTAAATATGCCCTAGATTAATCACTGCTTTTGGTTAATCAAAACAATTTCTTAAAATCATGCTGCTTAACCTGATAAACTGATAATAAAAAATCCCTAATGATCTTAATCTAAGTTTGCCAGAAATAAGCTAACATTTGACCTCAGTCAATCATCAGCACCTCCCCTTCCTTTTAATTAAAACTGGGTCAGATCAAACATGATTAAGGCCTTCATTAAAATAAAACACTAAGTCAAAGAGCTCTATAATATTATGCATTATTTATACCAGTCTCTTAATGGAAATGACAGCCACGTTGTTCCTTACAGGAAGTCAAACTCCACTCGCATGTTACATTTATCAATAATCATATTCTACATCAAGGAAAAGATGCCCTTGTACAAAGACATCATAAACAGTTTAGGGTTAGGCTGTAAAATGTGGTTATAGCGTTGTACGTTTCACTTCTGTATGTAGATTATAGATAAAACAGAAAGCCAAAGGGGGAAATGACAAAGTATTTCATACAAACATTCACGTAAATATCACTGTACAAGTCCTAAAGGAAATAAACTTTTCTCATGTTTTTCCTTTCTTCATGTTCTCCATATCCTCTCTGTCTCTCTAATACTTAATATCATCTGATATGAAAACACAACTATTTCAAGGAAAAATAATCATTTTTATAACATTTTCTGTTACTTTCTTATGAATTTTAAACTCTAGATTTTTCAAATATCTGATGTGTTATACACTGAAATTTAGTGTACATACACATCTGTTGTAAAGAGTTTACTGAGCACTGCATGCTTGCCCAGTAGCATCTTTTATGAGGAGTTGTGTAAGCAGACAAAAATGTTAGACACAAAGAATCTCATCGCATTATTTCCTATCTTTATTTTATTTTTTTTAGTATTACATATGAGGGCATGAAAATTGTCTTACTTTTGCCTGCGTTATATAGTGCCTTGACCGACTTCTTCATTTTTGTTAATCCACTGCGGTCTGCATCCAGTCTCTGAAATTAATAACATGATAAATACATAATTCATTTATCAAGGATAAGAATTAAGATAATTGACATTAAAAGCTAGTTACAAAGTAGTCCAGCATTGACATTATTCTATAACCAGAACTTGGGTGTAGAGAAAAATCTGAGTGTCTGCATGGACATACCCATTAACACACCCTTCTCAGTTAAAGGATTGAACAACTGTCCCATCCAGTAAAGGAATAAAATTGAAAAAAAAAAATGCTTTTTTGAAACACAGGAAACAGAAATAAATGTGCAATAGTTTATCATTTTTTTTCTTGATGTATTTAGTACAGGATGAAAGTCCCAGCAGCGAGTAAAATTAACATTTTTTCATAAATCGATACAAATTTGCAAGGAATACACATTAACATAATTATTTAAGCAGCAAAGTGCGTAGAATACAGTAACGTCCTTATTTTATCGTGAGTGATGTCACAAGAGAAATATTTTTAATGCACTTTCATTATCTTGTGATTCTAACTTGCTTTTTTACTAGAAGGAAAAACTTTGCAAAAATCACATGCTACATAACTGGCTTATATTCTATTTGATAATTCTGAAATTTCACAGGTCCATACTTATAGTCTAGACAAATAAACAGCAAATGGCAAACATTTCTTTGACCTAAAAAGATTTTAAAATGTGGATTTCAGGAAGTTTTTACAATGCAAATCTCTTCATTTTATTATAAATAATATTGCTTTGTTTAGGTTTTTCTAGAACACTACCCGAGGCAACCTATTTAAAAATGTTTTGTATAATCTAAAATTCTCTTCTTTTTGTGTGAAAAACAAAGGGATGAAGGGCTAACTTTATACTGAATTCAGTACATCCCTTTGTTAATCCCTTGTGGTTTAACAGGGAGAATCTCAGAATAAAAAAAAAATTTCTCATGTTATATCAGCTTGCATCCTTATAAGGCAAAGTGCAAAACTGATGCACATTACCGACTTTTCCGTCATCAAGTGCATGTTTTCTGACAAGGCTTAATGCATGAATTTTCTGTTATGTTAAAAAGGAAAACAATTTCTCTGTGCATAAAACATTGGGAATGAGTCACCTTTGTAACAAAGAGAGAAAAATAGAAAACTTCTGGAAACAGCAGGACAAATTTTTCTTTGTTTTTGAAAATTGAAATGCAATGGCAGCAAAGTACATCTCTATCTATAATCCTATTAACTTCTTTGTCCAGGTGTGCACTTTTGTTCTCATAGCTGAGAAAACTGGAAGGTTTTTAACATCAATCACTGTGATTTTGATAGAAATTAACCAAATGCCTTTTTCTGTTCAAAACAAAATGTTTTTCTATGTACAAATGTAGATTTCATAAATCATTTTCTTTTTTTTTTTTCAAAAACTATAATGCTAAATACAGTTGTACTCTACATCATCTACAATGAAACTTTATTTCTTTCGACTTAAAGTGAAACTTTCTGAATCAAAACCCTGTAGACATCTTTTAATTACAATACTCCTTTGTCAAATATACATGCATTGTATTTCATAAATTGCCAGTTCCCTTGTATTCCACCCTATTTACCAAGAATGTTTACTGGGTGAGTTGTCTAATTACAAAACTACATGTAACAAAAAAGTATTATTTTAATTTCAACATAATTATCTACACCTGCTTGAAAATTTGACAATTTCCTTATGAAATACTACACCATTCCAATCTAAAAGCACTACCCTGGTGGTACAATAGTAATTGACTAGCACTTGTACTTCTCTGCTGGATTATAATGTCATGATGATACAAAAGCTTGTATACTATCAAAACAATTTGTATGGGATTGAAATTGCCGTACCCCTCCCTACTGTAATACATAGTCAGATTATGTGTATTGATCAGCTTGACCATTGAGGTAACATCAATATTGGGATAAATACTTTCTCAGTAAAGTTAATCCATTTCTGCCATTCATACAAAAAGTCACCAAGAGTGGATTTGGGGGAAACTTAACTGATAATCACTTAATACTCATTGAATACAATGAGAAATAAAAACAAAAAATGCTACAAATACACTCGCAGTCTCATACTAAAATTGTTTAATACTGAATGCTATGATGAGTGTTTACATGAATGATAAATAGAGCTTCTGGCTTCAAACTCCCACTCCCCAAAAGAACAATCCTGAATGTGGACACCTTTTCCAGTCTTAAACATTACCTGAATCATCACCAGGTTTTGATTTAGGCAATATGAATTTATTTAAGATCTACAAAATTGTCCACATTCAGGATAAAAATGTTCAGTGGTGAGTGGGAGTTTGAAGCCAGAAGCACAGTTTATTATATAAAACCACATGTATGCATTATAATTATACACTGAACTACTGTATCTCAATTATACAGAACAAAAGAACTTAAGACTAAGACCAAAAACTTTAGCTAAATATATTTACAACCACTGAATATTTTCTCCTTATTTTCTAAAGAAAACCATTGCCGTTTATCACTTCATGAACAACACTAGGCATACCACCTGTACAGATTTCTTGATCAGTGACTGTTCCTTCAATGAAACGTACTACATGACGAACATATCAATATTACAATAATCAAATCTTTTTATGATTATTTATACAGATATAAATATAAACAATAAAATGTCTTTCTTTGGTTGTTAGTTTGGGAATTAACGTCGCAGCAATTGCAGAAAAAAATTACATAACCCGCTTACGCGGGTTATGTATTTTTTCTGCAACAGCTGCGACATTAATTCCCGTACTAACAACCAAAGAAAGCATTTTATTGTTTAAGTAAACTCTTACAAAATATTCAATTTTGTTAAAACTTGCTTGCTAAAAATATCTATTAAAACGTTAAACCCTTTTAAAAATATATCAATACTATTTTCAAATTAATGAAAAGAAGGAAATTATTCACAAAATTACATTTTTGTCTTAGTCGTAAGTTCATCTGTAAAACAGGGCACTGTATCTCAAACACTAATATCTCAACATTACTTTGGGATTTTTTTCTTTTATAAGGCATTAAAAAAATCTCTTAAGAACCCTCCCTAAACTGCACACTATAGACTTCTGATTCTATAGGATTTTTTTGCAATTAGAGTGATCTGCCCTTAGAACTAAATTCCAATAAATTTAAATTTACAGTATATTACTCAATTTGTAATCATTTCAAGTATTCTTAACATTTTAAAAGGCCAAGATAAATTGACTGAACACCTTATTTACATGTATTTTCTCCACAGAAGTACTAAGTAAACAACAGTGATTTCTTGTCTCCTGATACTTGGTTGTGTTTGAACATTTTTCCTGGGGGTAAATGCCACATACCATATACTGTATACAGGGAAATTTTCACCCCGTTTTACTCCCACTGCAAGATCTTAAGACAATGCCTGGGTGAGGAGAAAATTCGGATTACTGCACATTCATCCAATAGAATTTTTTCCACAGTAGTTTCTACCCACAATCCTTCATAAAATGCATATCGCTGCCAAACAATGCTCTCATGATAAATAACCAAAAATTGACAAATAAAAAAGAATCTAAACTTGCTTTAACGGAAATTACATATTACAGTGAAATCATCAATGTTCATAGGGGACCAATTCTAGGATTTCGTGGGTCACCCTAATCCATGAATTTACATCCCCACAAACAACTATTTTGTCAATATATTTATTAACTAAATCTTCTGTATATATACAAGTTTCCCACGAAATTACGTCCCCATGAACCAACAAAATTTTGCTTACCATTGAACATTGACCCCCACAAATTTAAATGAATTCCACAGTAGATTGTAGATTGAACATTCTTTTTTTTAAATAATTGCACTTTCTAGACTCTGTTAGTGTTATGGAAATGCAAGTAACCTACAAGGTCATGTGACTTCACAGTCTATACGTTCCAAATGTCTCCTACAGTTTGAAGAGACTGATCTAATTTAAAAATGAAAATATTAACACAAGTTCAGACTACCGAAATACTGATAGAGTTATATTTATAGAAAATGTGTACTTAATATCATGAAATGATTAGTGGACATCAAACCTTAAAAATTTGCGAGTGGACTGTTCATAAAGAGTAGGGATGGTATTACCAAGAATTTTGTATCATGATTTATCACGATTTTTCCCAAAAATATCACAATAATATCATGATATTTTCAACATAAATTTTTACTATGATTTTAAATGAATTTCCATCATTTTTCTAACAAATATAGTGTGAAAACATAAACTTCACTTTTTTTATTTTATTTAATATATATCAGTCTGTTGATAAAGCATGTTTGGATGCTAAGATGCTGTTGTTTTACTGTCTTACAACATTTTTTTTACAATTCCTGTAATTGTAATTCAAGAGTTTGAATAAAACAATTAATTATTCTCAGAATTTATAAAATTTTTCATACTAAATACCAATATTTTAGTCTCCGTATCACAATGATATACTGGTATACCAATAAAATCGCACATCTCTTCATAGATGTTTTTCAGCAATGTAAAAAAATAAGCAAGTAATTTATTGCCATTAGTGCTTCTTGTGAAATTATGAAATATTAAATTCCACACAAACATTTAGGAATCTACTGGTTAATGAAGACAATGCAAAGACTGTGTTATAGAGAACACAGTGAGCGGCGCTTTTACTGCAAGCTCTTAGGACAATGTGTGCGAATGGAGGAAATTTGGATATAATCCACACTTTTTCAAAGAAATTTTGATGGGACAGTGTGAAAATAAAATTCTACAATTCCCATGCCCATATAGCAAGTCAACATGGTGGCTTAAACAGAGCAACAACATTCATTGCAAAGTTATGTTTAGTGAGGATGCAAACGATAGTTTTAGTGTATGGAATTTGCATTAAATCCTTGTTTATACTTTTTTTCAAACAATATTTTCACCACTGAAATGGCTCAGGTATTTCAGATTTTGTTGAAAATATATAAGAATCCCCGACCCCTGGAAATCTGCAAAGTTTGGGAAAATTTCTTTTAGTCATTTATATTGTTTGGGAAAAAACTTATGAGACACAGTACACATGGTAAACGCAGGCTACAGGTGTTACTGAAAATTGTAACACCATCAGCAGCATGCTAAATGATATTTGAGAGATGTAGAAAATAAAACAAATCTTTATTCAGTATATGTACATAAATACATACACAAGGATAGCACATGAAAGCTCAAAAACTTATTTCCAATGGGGTCTTTTACTGAACGGATTTTGGCACGAGAGAGGTAATTTCTGTGGGAGGAAACCAGAGTATCCAGACCCATGTCCAAGTGGGAGACCACCTTACCCTCTCGCATACAACCACAGGGATCGAACTCAGGTTGCAGTGATAAGAAACGAGTGCACTAACCACAGTGCTATCCAGACACCTCTACTGCATTGCTAATTCATTATTATAAAAAGGAAACTTTGTTCACCATAACAGTTTCACTGTTGCACATATTATATTCAACATGGTTAAATTATTAAAGACTAAAAATGGACCACTTCCAACATGTCCGACAAATTTTGTGTTCAACACAATTCTTGAAAAGGGCTTTCTACAACAGCGTTCAGTTTGAACTATATGAGACAAAACAACTCTCAGGGTTGTCCCTAAGACCCGTGAGCCGGGGAATTTCCCCGCCTATAATGACATAATCCCCCTATTATTCTGGTATTATCCCTCAAGCTTTTTAGGGGTAGGAACCCCAGACCTCCTTCTACTTTTTTAACGTCCCCTGCTATTTCAATTCTTAGGGACAACCCTGCATTCTACAGATTTCAAAACTTATATTGGACAACCACTCTACAGACTTCACACTTATTCAATGGAATATAAGCTATATATGTATCTACAGGGAGACTGTCTTAGTGAGTTGATAATATGTTTGTTTGTGAAACATTTTTAAGAGTTCAGTTCACTTACTTATACTTGCATGTATTTCGCTGAAGAATAGTAGCTCAATAGTATAAAGAACATATACATCTGGTCAAGAAATACATTAGGGCCTATAAATTTGAATTTTCAGACACAGGTTTCATAATGGAAGTTATATGTTTACTGTAAACCACAAAGGGGGCGTTTTCTATTGTGAATAAATAAACATGTTCTTTACGATAAAAAAATATTGATATATTGCATGTTCCGTAAAATAATTTGACTGAAAACCAGCGCTTCAGTTTTTACAACAGATCCTAGTCCAAATATTTACAGTACAATCAAAACGGAATTATATCTTTACTCACTTCCTCAAGTGTTGACACCAGGTTCTTATAGTTAGGCATGTTTTTCGTGAATGAAGAGGTCGTCGGGGACTTGAAATCATCCCACGTATCCTTCACGAAGTCTGACAAGGGTATTTGCTCCGGCATCTTGCCTTCCTAATTTTCCTGCTCTTAAAATATTGTCATATCTATTTGAAACAGATAGCGGAAGGTTTCCCTCTTTTTACCACCAGTCGCCTTTTCAAAATGGCCTCTATTTTGTTTTTCGTAATTGATAAGCATCCCGAACCCGATTTATATATTAAAAAAAAATAGCAGAGATTGAATTTAGTAAAAGAAACCATCTTAAAAATATTATTGACATGATCATTTGTTTCAAAATTTCTATCATATCAATGCAAAAAGATAAGCTTAAACTTTGTTGGTAGGACCTTAGTTCCATATATAACCCCCCCCCCCCCCCCGCACACTTATGCACACACAAAAGAAAAAGAGAAAATGACAGCACACGTGGAACAAAACAAAAAAAAGAAAAGAAAAAGAAAAGCAATAAGGACCATGCAAACATATGTCATAAAAGTTGAGAAAACAGAGCCGTAGAAGAAGATCAATGATGCATGTATCAATCAGGATTATGGAGCAAATTTGACACAGTCTTGTTTGTCGAGTTTTGGAAAAAAAATAAATTCAAATACACGACTTTCTACAGATGCATATCATGTTAACTTATTAAACTCTATACCTTATACACCACAATACGATTACACTAACAATGCTGTGTAATAATAGCTCATGCGCGCATCATGCATACAAATAGTATATATTGCAAATACACTATGCATGCATGGATCATGCACACAGTATATTGCAAATAGAGAGAGAGAGAGCAGTCGTATCAATATCTGAAGTTTAACTGATTCTGATTCTTTATGTTTATTGTCCTTCCTGATATAATTTATTTTATCATACTTTATATACTTTATTGTATCAAATAAAATATACAACTCAAGTTGTATATTTTATTTCATAAAATAAAGTATATCAGTAATGGCATTAATCATGTCAATCAGTAATTATTTTATATAGATGAAACATGATTCTTTGATGTCAATATTAATTAAAGAATATTGTCACGGTGCGCAATTTTTTAGAAGTTCGCAAAATACGCTGCTGAAAATACTTTTCTCCTAAAAACTGCGACTGTTAAATCAGAGCTCACTTGAAACAAATATAGAATATAACGATTTTTTTGTCGTATGTCGCATAATTCCTGCTTTTATCTAGATTAAGAAGATTTTGAAGCTCTGTTTGATATTTATTCCACCAGTTCGTTAAAATGTATGGAGGGAGAAAGAAAGAAGCCCCGATTTAAAGCGTAATTATTAGTTACATGCGCGCAAAATTAATGTATAAAAAGAAGTTACATAAACAAGATAAAAGAAAAAAAGAAGCATATCAAGGAATAAAACTCATAATAATCAATTCTTTACATAATATACAAATACACAGATAAACAAATGATTAATTCACTTTTGATATTTGTCTGCATTTCTACACGAAAGAAATTTATTTTACGACGGACCGAATTTCATACACTCACACAGTCTAGTTCTATGATGTTTAACACGCGGGGATCTAATCTGAAGGAAATTTATTTAATTTGTTGATGACAGTTGGCGAACTATGTAGTTAATAATGTTTCATCCCAGAATTTCTTCGTCCTTTCCACAGGGATTAAATATTCCTTCGTAATCTGAGTGTTCTCTGCTAAAAAGAAACGTCGTAATTGAAAACATTAATATATAACTTAACTTAATTAAATATTATCTAAAGTTGCTGTGATATCATTTAATTTTGTAAGTATTTTTTTAAATTAATTATTGATTTATAGTCTTTTTTTTTCATTTTTACAAATGACATTCTATCACGTTATGAAAGATAACTCCATCATCTTTATGTACTCTATTGTGGCCAGCTAGCCCCTATCGTGCGGAATTTTTTTTTTCGGATTACTATCAATAACAAGCTTTTCATTCATTTTTTATTATTTATTTATTTATTTAGTTAGTTAGTTATGTATTTATTTATTTATTTATTATTTTTGGTTTACCCTTCTCCAGAAAATCAACGTCATCTTTTCCATGAATGCAATTTTGAGACGGAAAATTATAATTTTCAAATTCAGAACAAGGAATTTAACTAATTTTTTTCTTTACTTTTCTTTGCTATATAAATTAAAATTAGAATAATTCGCGTTCCCGCTCTATGTCATTGAAACAGCCACATCACACTCTCCGTGTTTGTAAATTCTGTCCCTTACATGCTAGATCAGTAAGTTCAACCTGCAGGAGTATGTCAATATGCAATATAACGATGCCTACATGCAAGGTAATAAGTGAAATTTACATAAAGTTACTAGTCTATGAGAGAATTTGATTTTTATATGAGTAGATTTAATCAGACAAGATGCAACATATTGATGTTGACATGCGACTCATTTAATTAAAAAACGCCCATATTAAAATCAGATTCTCTTTTAAAAAGTGTAACTTGCAGAGATATTTTTCACACTTTCTCGCATGTTGACATATTTTATCACATTTTGACATTTAAATTAATTTTGTATGTAGGAAGAAGAGATCTTCCACTAAAAGTAACAAGCTATATATATATGTACTGCGGATTATTCTGTTTTTGAAGTCGCACTACTTTCAGTCAATAGAGACAGCTAATAGGAGTTTCAAGGGCAAAGATAAACCGAAGAACATGTTAAATATATATATATATATATATATATATATATATATATATATATATATATATATATATATATATATATATATATATATATATATATATTTTGTAGTTTAACATGGAATTTATATCACTCGTGAGATGGACATTTTCTTATATTTGTACTCGTGCTTTGCACCAGCGTGAAAATATCAAAAATCTTGTCACACATGTATACATGTGTTATAAATTCCAAGCCCTACTATAGCATTCTCTCTCTCTCCAAAAACATTGATTTTTCACATGTCGAGCAGCTTCATGGCTCTTCTTAGATATAATTTTTTTTTTCATCGGAACAGCTTAATAAAATTAACGCCATCTGGATGAGACAAATTTATGGTACAATGTATTTCAATTAATATATGTGAACTATAACTATATGTGAACTATATATATATATATATATATATATATATATATATATATATATATATATATATATATATATATATATATATATATATATATATATATATATATATATATATATAATGTGAAGATAAATGAAGTGTTTGTACTTGGTCATTCTCAGGTGACCTTGTATATCTTGATATTTTTCCTCGGCACTGCGTATACACAGGCATATGTGGTTTTTGGATTGTGTGTAACGGAGTTTAATTACTTTGAAGATGTATTTTCTTTTACGTAGAAAATTCCAAAAAGTTCAGCGGAAAGGAAAATTTCACCACAACCCGGCCGCATAAAATTCTTCCCCAAAACAAAAGTGCTCAGATGTTTATTTCAACTTTGGAAAAATACTAAGTAATTTTTTAAATTGCTATGAGGGAAAGTACATTCTGTTATAAAAGAGTTTATTCAAACAACGGCTACTATTAAAGTCAGATTTTCTTGCGCGTGTGTGTGTGTGGGAGGGGGGGGGGGCTGGTTGTAAACATATCTAGAACTGAATTCCAATTTACAATAGCGCAACAAGGGTATTAACGCATATTGTACTTGTTAAATAATGAAATTTTCCTGAATAAGAATACGATTTTCTAGTACGTATCATGCATTATTTTTGTGTGACTTGAAAACAGTTCCCGGAATAATGAACTCAAATGGTCGTTTCATGTTGAAAATTAAAATGAACCAACTTTAAAAAGCTCCGTATGTCATTAGTGTTGTTTAACGGAAGCCATGCCCGAAGAAATGGGGGAGATATCCCCTATGATTTTGCAGATGCACACAATAGACATCCAAAAATCCGATGCAAATTCCCGATTATACCCTGCCTCATAAAGAAGAGGCCCATGGGCCAAAAGGCTCATCTGAGTCACTTTAGCCCAGAAGATTTTTTCCCCTCTCTAATTACATAAATATTTTGACTCCGTTTTGTGGACCAAAATCAGACCTAAAGGAGTTAATAAATGATTTTGAAAGTCAAATTAACACAACATTGGGATGCTTCAATATCAATACGATCAACAAATGGCCATGCTGTTTTGGAGACTTTTTCCTGTACACATGCAATATGCAACATTTGGATCTCTGATTTCGGCTTAACTCTAACCTGAGGGCTCATAAATTTAAAAGACTACTGTACAAGTCTTGTTTTGCTACTTAATACGATTTAGTGTGATGAAATATGAAGATAACGAACAGTATTCAATTTCGAAAGTCCAATGAAGCAATAAAATTTGGAGCAGAGAAAACACGGACCTCAAAATTTAGAGGTGGAATCAGGTGCCATGGAGGAGTGAGCATCCCCTGTCGACCGGCCACACCCGCCGTGCGCTCCTTGTCATGATCGGAAAACAAAACGGAAAAATCCGTAGACAGTTCAGTGTATATAAATAATGGCCTAACAATTAGTATGAAAAACGTCAGTCAGCATTTGACTCAATGATAGGTTGTATGTGCTGACAAGGTCATTGTATCGACCATAAAACTTGCGAAATGATGACTTCAAACGAGGCTGTTGATATCCTTGTTTCATTAACTTGTTTTTCAATAGCTTGTATTGCTACATAAGTAAGGGAAATTGACGATTGAAAAGTTGAAGTCATCACATTTATCATGAAGCTTTCTTGTTAGGTTACCATTAACGTCTTTTTCTAGTAAAATATCTAAATATGAAACAGATGTGTCAGACTCTGTAGTATCTTTTATTTCAAGCTCACTGGAATATATCGAGTCGACATAAGAATGGAAGTAACTATTGTTAACTGATAATACGTCTTTGATATATCGAAATGTCGAGTTGAAGGCCACAGCAAGTGTTTTCTTCTTCTCATGTAGAAGTTTTTGAATAAATTCTGCATCATGTGAATACAAAAATAGGTCTGCTAATAAGGAGGCGCAATTGGTACCCATGGGAATTCCAACAGATTGTTGGAAGACTTGATCTTTAAAAACTACATAGATATTTTCAATCAGAAACGCAAGCATCTTTTTAATATCAACTTCAGAGTACTTGTGTGTACAATCAAAATGCTTTTTAACAAAATGCAAATGACCA